TCATTTGAAACCGAGCTCCGTAGATCACTGTGAATGTATTCGAGAATACTTTTGGTAGTGTTTTACCCTCTGGAAAGCTTTGCTTGTGGGAATTTCCAAGTACACACTCTTCACAAAAATCTAATGTGTGGACCTCCTTTGAGTCTAGATAACCTCTTTTGACCAGAAGATTTATATTCTTAAGACATATGTGTCCTAGCCTTTAATGCCCTCTGTTTGTCAAGTTCACTTCAGCTCTGACAACAGATGCTTCTCCCTTCACCATTGATTTGTGCAAATAATACAGTCCATCTTGATATTTTCTAAAAATCACCTTTTGATCATTCTTGTAAAAAATAACTATAAAATTATTTTCTTTCATATTTGCAACCGTTCTTTTTTAACTAACCCTACGAGATGAGATTCCTGCTCCTGGTTAGCATGTATCTCACATCAGTCAAGATCACCATAGCTCCTTCAGAGTTTATGATCTTCAGCACGCCCATACTTTTGACCTCACTAAGAGTAGTATTTCCCCTACCTTTCCACCATCAATCTTCTTGAAGTCAAATAAGACATATTTATCTGGTGTAATGTGGAATGTACATCTAGAATCTGTGACCCACTAGCTCATAGGGTCTTGTTCACTTGCTGTCAATATCATAGGTAACTTCTTTTTCATGAGAATATTTTCATAATGATTTGTTCTCCCATTCTTTCTTTCAAGATAATCTTTTTTTTAAATGTCCTTATTTCTCACATATTCAACACTCTTTAGGTTTGTGTTGATTTTTTACCTCGATTTAGACCTTGGATCCTTGCTCTTATTCTTCCAGACCACTGACCACAACACTTCTTCTCAGGTCTATCCATGACCACAACCAAACCTTAGGCACTTGACTTAGACTTTCTTGTTGCTCAGCTTCTTTGGCATAACCAAAGTTGGTTACTTCATTCAGAATCATTGTTGAATCCATTACCATATTTAAGTGTATGAACAAGTGAGTCGAACTGCCTTGGAAGACTAGATAGGAATAGATTGATCCACATCACTCACATTAATGTTCAAACTTGCCAAATCATCTACCAGTTTCAGAAACACATCAAGATTCTCCTTTATGCTTTTATAATTTTCCATCTTAAACCTGACAAGCATTTGCTTTGAATAAATGTGGTTAGGTAAGGACTTCGTCTGATAATCTCTTTTCAGAGCCCTCCTAGAGATGTTGTTTCTTTCATCACCTTCCGCAAGATCATGTTGCTAAGAGAAGAGCATATTAGATTCTTTACCGCTTATCCTTCTCCTTTTCAGCATATCAACCAGAGAACTCTCAGCTTCTGAGATCTCACCTTCTTTTTCTTTTCCTTTAACAGAACTTCTAGATTCTTCTTCAAACAAAAAATCCAAACCATGGAGCTCAAGCTGCATAAGTATATTGAACTTCCACAATCCAAAGTCTTCTTAACCGTCAAATTTCTCCACCGCAGCTGGCTCCCAGACTTTATGTGATTCTCTGTTAAAGCTGAACACCAAGACCAATAACCATGAACCTCCTATGCAGTCAAACACCAATAGCATATTAGTAACTGAAACCGTAATGTTTCTCTGCTGAACATGATACTCTGATACCACTTGTTGAGTTATTTGATACTGAGTAAGCTATCACACTAACAAACTCTAATACCCTTTGTTAAGAATAAATTGTTACTTAACCAGTTTATTCTCTCTTGACTAAAATTTCTCAGTACTTTTGTTGTTGTTTGAATTAGTTAAAGGCACAAGAGATTTGTTTACCCAGTTTCCTTTACTGGTACATCTGGGGAGGGGACGACACTCTCAATGCTTCACAAGTATCGAGTGTATACAAGAGATTTCTTACACAACATCCTCCGTGTTTTTCTGTTGACTTAGAGAAAGCACACCAATAACCTAAAGATTTAAGCTTACTGAGCTTGTGTGTATATGAGATTAAGTCCACTGTCCAAAGAAGAAGAAAAAAAAACTTAGACTCTTGACCGAATCTCTCTTTGCTTCTCTTCAACCTTCTGTAGATATTCATTCAGTTTCTTCTTTGCTCTTGCTTCTTACCTCTTTCTCTCTAATCTCAGATCTCTATAGAATTGAGTGTTGTGAGTGATAGGAGGCAAGCAATGAGGTTAGAGAGTTTATATAGTGTCTCTTTAAACCCTTACACTAATGGGCCTCAACACACTAAGATCCAAACTTAACAGATTTCCTAGAGCATCAAAGTGTAAGATGCATTTTTCTGAAGTGTGCACTTCAGTGCTCTAGGTAACTTCATGGATTTTCCTATAGCATCAAAGTCCTGAAGACATGTATCCAAAGTGGACAGTTCAATGATGTAGATGAAACACAGACTAAATGCACATAATCAACATGAGATATGACGGATCTGAAAGAGTGGTCAGGTATACATCAGACTCTAGAGGCTACAGTGCCTAAAATAGCAGTTTGATTGTTGCCTCATCCAATTATGTACTCAGTAATTATAGAATCTGGTTGTATGGTTGCTGCGATGTCTCATGTGTGGTTCAACAGAAAGTAAACCGATGTGGTCGGTAAACCATCTACTTCCATGATGGACTTCTTGCTAAAAAGAAAAAAATATGTGGACATGGAAGCGAATCATGTATCATTCATAGTGCGCAGTAAGTATAACATGGTGTGTGATAAAGAAGTGTACCTTCATGGGAGAAACTCCTTGCGCTTCTACACCACCAAGATCTAAATCACCTTCATTACAAGAAAAAAAGCGGACATCATGGCAATAAGTCGATAACATGGTGTGTGATAAAGAAGTGTATTTTCAAGAAAAAATATATCACCTTTGAGGCAGCTTAGCGATGATCATCGACAAAACTGTTCGGAATCAGATATATCTTTGTGAATAAAGACGGACGTGATACGAGGATGATCTCACTCTGTGGTTTGCGACACAACATCCTTAAAGAGAATTTTTTTTGTTGGTAAAATGTTAAGATTAAGGTACAACTTATTGGGGAAAAAACAAGTATAAGTTGGTGAATCCGAAACAAAACACTTGTAGAGGAGCAAAGCAGCAACTTGAAGTGGGTGCATGAGACTAACATCTTGTCTGAGAATCCAGTTCGCGATGGCCTGCAAATCAGATGGAGGAGCACTCCATATTCGACTTGCAAGAACTATCCAGACATTCCTCGAGTAAATTCATTGAAAAATAGATGTCCATGAGTTTTAATTCCATCATAACATAGAAGACAAGTACATTCAAACCCTATTTTTCTGTAAGCTCTGGTTTCATTATATTTCCAGTCTCTTGATAGAGAAACAAAAAAAACAGTTGTAAAAAGAAGTATCCTTTGTTTTTTGAATGAATAAAACATTATTTCAAAAAAAAACTGTACCTATTTGTATTGTAGATTCGGACCAAAAACGTCAAGAATGTGCATGGTGGTACCATGGTGGGTGATAGGCTAGATACATTATACATATGTAGACTACGTTGACAGTGATTTGGCTTCTCTCAATTTTCTTATAAGAAAACAGCGGTGCATATGATTATAATACTGATTGAGTCCCCTAGTAAGTAATGCACATCATCATCTTGCTTTACCCTGAAAATAGTAATTTATGTCATTATGTTACGTACAGTAAGATGAAATTTTTGCATTTTTTGCTCTTTATTAATGATCAATCTCATCATCAGAAATACATAGCTGGCTTGCTGGAATAACAGGTTGAGTTCAATATATTTGTTATGTTTCTGAATAACTAGATGAAGAGTTAAATGATAGGATAGCAAATAAGGTTCCCATTGAAAGTCTAAACAAAAGTGCATCATGCCTCCAATAGTGCCTGGTTTCATGTCACAGAGCTGGTATAGACTTTATAGATTACTTGGTCCAGAAACATGCGACCTCTATTGATAAAAGAAACTAATTTTTTTAAAGATAATCATTATCAAGGAACACACAGATTTCTTGAGTTTGAGAGATTTATAAAAGGTTCCAATTCAAACGGCATGTGATGTGATTCAATGATTATCAGCGAATATTCCGAAAATGCAAAAAGTTTTAAACTAATGATTTTGAACTGGGTTCATTCTCATGTTTTTGTCTGTTCTGCTGTGTTACAGTGACTATAACTAAGAGTACATCAATAGCTAGAAGAGGCAATTGTAATATATCATCACATGATATGAATTTTCTCAACCAATTAAGTTCCAAAGTGCATAGGAACATTTGCCCCAAAATAAAGTGCATAGGAACATAATGAGGGAAGTTAGTACAAATCCTTATTTGCTTTTGGCATGCCTTCTTCTTGCTCTTCTTCTTACAAGTCATTAACGCTTACAAGACCTACTAACCATACCTATAATTTGTCTGAATTAACAAATCTTGTCCCAAAAAGAAAAAAAAAACAAATCTGAAGTCTTTTTTAAGAAATAAACATTTATAATCATTCAACTTTCTTTTTCTTTATTTCTTTCGGCATTAAAATCCTTCTCTCTCTATTTTTTGGTCTCACACTCCTTTTTCAGTTCTTTTTGTATACGGATATTGAAAGATTGATGCAGTGAAAGCCCCTCATTTAATTTTATTTATATAAAGACAAAAATTCGAAATGTAGTATTTTTTTTTTTTTAACACTGGATAATTATGCCATTACAAACTACGAGAAATGTTACAGACGATTCAACAACCGACAATTCTATACCTATCTTATGAGGATTCACGCACTCCTAACTGCATCACCTGAGCCGCCCTATCAGATCCTCGCTTGACGGTACTCCTTGTGCCATGCTGCAGATCTCTTGTAAGCCTTTCTCCACTAATTCGCATAATTCCGTCTTCTCTGGGATTCGAACCCCATACCTGCTGGTGTAGAAGCATTAATGAACCCTTAGTCAAACCACTGGACCAAGGGGGCTTCCACACGAAATGTAGTATTTTGTATTTAGCTTTTATTAGAGAGTCATTTTAAATTTAGCAAAGTCTTGGCTGTGACTGGATCCTCTCTCCGGGTTGTTGTCGTGTGTATCTGGCGACATGACCAAACACTAGTGAAGCTGAAGTGATCAAACTGCATGTAATTCTAACAGCAACAAGCAAGCAAGCAAGCAACTACTTTTCTCTGTCTCTTACTTCGAATCTCCTCTGCGTCAATTCACACCCAAGGTATCTCCTTCCTTACCTCTCTAGGGTTTCTTCTAAAGCCACTTCCTTTCCTTGTCTCCAGATCTCCCTTTTTGTCTATCACTATACTCTTTGCTAATCATCTCCTTCAATATTGATTCATCTCCTTCGATCTCCCCCAAAGCTGTAATCTTTTCTTGTGAATCTTGAAGAGAACAGAGAAATAAAGACAGAAGATTGAAATGTTTGATTCTTCTTCTAATTGATTCTTATTATGATCCTATTAGGTGTTTCAAGAGAGATGTGCCTTTCTTGATAATCTATTTTGCGTTCCCATGGCGTCCACCCTAAAGCCTAGTGGTCATGGAGCTGAAGCTCAAGAACGCTCCTCTTCAAATAGTAATACTAACTCATCCAAAGCTGAGACGCTAAAGCTACACAAATCAGAAACAAACCCAGCTGCTGCTGAGAGTAAACGGTTGCCTAAGCGATCTAGTGATCCTAAACCTGATTTCACCTCCTTATCAACCGTTCTTGAGCATGTAGATTCATTGACTATTGACAGCAAGAACCAGGAGAAGAAAACATCAGGCTTTGGCAGCGTCAAAACCAGCTCTGCCTCTGCTAAAATGAGTGACGGCACGAGCAGTCTCGCCAAAACGAGTGGAAGTACCAAGTTCAGTGGCCACCTAGATTTCATGGGGAGTGGCAAGAGCAGCATCTGCAGGGGAAGCACGAGCAGTGACATTAGCGATGAGAGTAGTTGCAGCAGCTTTAGTAGTAGCACTGTCAACAAACCCCACAAGGCCAACGACTTGAGATGGGAAGCAATACAAGCAGTTAGGTCTCGTGATGGGGTTTTGGGTCTGAGCCATTTTAGGCTACTTAAGAGGCTAGGATGTGGGGATATAGGGAGTGTTTATCTCTCTGAGCTGAGTGGGACAAAGTGTTACTTTGCGATGAAGGTTATGGACAAGACATCTCTTGCTAGTCGCAAGAAGCTTCTCCGGGCTCAGACGGAAAGAGAGATTCTTCAGTGTTTGGATCACCCGTTTCTCCCTACGCTCTACACTCACTTTGAGACTGAGAAGTTCTCTTGCCTGGTGATGGAGTTTTGTCCTGGAGGAGACTTGCATACTCTCAGGCAACGCCAGCCAGGGAAGCATTTTTCTGAGCAAGCGGTAAAGTAAGTCACTCATCATCCTTCCTTTGATCTTATACTATTGCAAACTACAAAGTATTGGATATGTTACAAAAGAAAATAGGCCTGCAGCTTCGGGTAGTTCGGTTCAATATAAATCTTACCGAATTAACTCGAAATAACGGTTAGGTATTCGGTTAGTTTGTTGTTTGAAAATCCTATCTAAGTTTTTGATTTCGCTTAGATTTTGGTTTAATTTTGTTAAAAAAATCAGATGAATTTGGTTATTCACAGTTAAATTCGTTTTTTTATTAGTTCGGTTTGAAATTTGGTTAGTTCGGTTTTGGTTTTTGGTAGGGTTTGCATATATTATTTTTTAAAGAAGAAAACCAAAGTAACCGATTGCAGAACCGAACCGACAACCAATTTTTTTTTTAAACCTACTGAACTAACCAAAATTTCAGTTTGGTTCGGTTAGAAATTCCCTAGCCTAAAAGAAAACATACTAGGATCAAGCCATTTACTCTAACTCTTAGGCTTAGCTGACTAGATTTTTTGTTTTGAATGTGTGACAGGTTTTACATAGCAGAGTCATTGCTAGCTATTGAATACCTGCACATGCTGGGGATAGTGTATCGTGATCTCAAGCCTGAAAACGTTCTAGTTCGAGAAGATGGACATATAATGCTCTCAGACTTTGACCTCTCACTCCGATGTCTTGTCAGCCCGACACTAGTGAAATCTGCTGCCATAGAGTCAGATCCATTACGCAAAAACGTTTACTGTCTTGAGCCCTCTTGCATCCAACCGTCTTGCACCGTCCCTACCACTTGCTTCTCTCCACGCCTGTTCTCAAGCAAATCTAAAAAGGAACGTAAATCCAAGAATGACACTGCAAATCAAGTTAGGCCATTGCCGGAGCTGGTAGCTGAGCCAACGGATGCACGGTCCATGTCATTTGTGGGCACGCATGAGTACTTGGCCCCGGAGATTATCAAAGGTGAAGGACATGGAAGTGCAGTGGATTGGTGGACTTTTGGGATATTCTTGTACGAGCTTCTCTTTGGTAGAACGCCTTTCAAAGGCTCAGGAAACAGACAGACACTGTTCAATGTGGTTGGTCAGCCTCTACGGTTCCCGGAAACACCTGTGGTGAGTTTTGCAGCGAGAGACCTCATCAGGGGCCTGCTCATGAAGGAGCCGCAGCAGCGTCTGGGGTTCAAAAGAGGAGCCACTGAGGTTAAGCAGCACCCATTCTTTGAAGGTGTGAATTGGGCTTTGATAAGGTGTGCGACTCCACCAGAAATCCCAAAGCCAGTTGAGCTGGAGAGTGGACCTGTAAATGTTGCAGAGGCACCATTGAGCCAGAAGACAGCAGCTGGCTTGGTTCTTAATGCTGAGAAAGGCTCTGATAATTATTTGGAATTTGATTTCTTCTAGCGTTAAGGTTAGAGATATGTTACTCTCTTCTTACTATAAAGATAATGTGGTGAAAGATGATCAAGTGTTGTTTCTCTCTTCATAGATTGTCATGAGATTGTATGTTTGTTTTGTCTATGCATAAGATGCTTTAGCTAACTCGATTAGTATTTTATAAGAGTTACCTCTTCTTCTCTATTCAACCAAACTCAAAACATATATATAATCTTTCATTGTCTCTCATTCCATTAACTATTAGTTTTGGGCTTACTGAAAAAGCAAATGCAAGCAAAAGGGTCATTGGATGGATCTTTCTTCGGCCGTTGCTCTCTTGGAGACTTGGAGGGAGTTCTCTGCTGCACTTTTGGGGACTTGGAGGGGACTCTCTCCATCACCGGCACCACCTCCATCTGTATCTCTTTTCCTTGGCATATGACCTTAACCTCACACAGTTCTGCTGCAGAGCTCCTCATTATCTGTTCAGGAACACTGTTTCCTCTTGTCGAATTTGCTTTCCTACAATAAACAGACAGAGGGAAGACTGTCATGTCATTTGACAACTAAAGAATAGTGGCCAATGATCTTGTATATATGTAGATGTATACCTTGCATTAGACTTGTCGATCCCAAGAACAAGCTTCTTAATGTGAAGAATAGTGATTAGGTCTATTAAAGCCTTTGCCACCGAGTCACTCTCAACCAGTATTGTCTCCACTTTCACCTGTATTTCGCATGTGTTACTTCACTATCTTGATCCACTCTTAAACAATACCAAGAGAGAGAGATGGAACCTTAGAAGCAGAGCAGGCGTGAAGGAACTTGTTCAACAGAGTTCTTCTCTTCTCCCTTTCCTGAGACATGAAGGTTTCAAGTTGTTCTTGACTCGCTTGCTCCCTTGTCAGCCTTCCCACTGCAACAAAGATCGTACATACATACACTTGAGTTCCTACACACACTTAGTTTCATCAAAGATAAGAAGTGTTATAAGAGGAGAACATATACAGACGTGGATAAGGTATGGAGCGAGTCTCAGGGAAGACATGGATGAGGTAAAGAAGACTAGAAGAAGAAGTGATGAGATTGTCAAGAGCCCAACGCAATGCCTCCATGCTTGAGTCTCCTTTACCAACTCCAACATACACGTTGTCCTCTCCGTTCATTGACACTGTTCCACTGTTGCTCCCTTCATACTGAATCTCTCGCACAGTCTCCAGCCCTCTCCTTCCATCTTCTTCTCCCTCCTCTTCTATCTCATTGTTCATCTTCTTCTCGTTGACTTTTTACCTCTTGCTTTTGCTTCAAACCTTCTGACTTTCCTTTTATTTATATGCAAATCTACATGTGTTTTGTTGAATGTACAACTTGATTTGCGTGTGAGTTTTGTGAAAACCTGAAGTTTTCAAGACATTGTACGTTTTGCATATCATGACAAGTTCCATATTACAAAGTTTACCAACACGTATGTGTTTGGAAACTATTTCTTTAACTAAATTTGCATCATCCAAGCTTAGAAAAATAGTTATCTTGGTCAAGAATTAGAAATTGTATATGGGTCAACCTTCTTTGATAGTTGTTTAATGGCAATTGTTGCACGAATATCCGAATATGAGGGAAGGATCTTTACATATAATAATCCAAAGTCAAAACACATAACTTTCTTAGCAGTTACAGCAAAAAAAAAAGACGCAAACCTTGCACATATTAACAGCAGCTATTGAAGTTTGATGCTTTCTCTCTAGGAACCCTTCCCATGTTTATATTAGGCTTGAAAGACTTCAGCCCTTGAAGATCATTTTGACCCAAAGATAGAAAAGCTGTCAGTCATCTTTAGGTTTTGGGCAAAGCTTGACTAACTTTTTGTGTAGTTTAGGCCCAAATCTCAAGAGAAGTGACCCACCTAACTCACAAAGTCACATTCAGTGCCAACTAGCACACAAGTTAGTTGTCTCTTTATTCTTGGCTTTTTGGATTGCAAATCACAAGAAAGACCTTTTTTGTGTGTGTGAGATAGGCATGCTTTACCATACAAGGAAATTGACCTTTGATTAACACATAAAGCAACCCCATTCATGCTATCTCCGCCCCCTAAACTTTCTTTCTAATCAATACCATTAAAACAGGTTGCAGGTCAGACGAGCGGGTCAAATTTTTGAGTAGAAAAAATGACTCAACTCGTTGCGGGTCGGACGGGACGGGTCGGACTGAGCGATTGAAATTTTGTAACTAAATAATTTTACGAATTAATCACAAAACTAAAAAAAAATTGGACCATTTAACTGTTAAATATATATTATTTCTCAAGTACACATTTTAGGTACAACCATTGTTAACTTATTTAGAAACATAAAAAATTATCTGAGACATTATAAAACAAAAATTTCTCTATATCCGCATAATAATTTGATCTTGATTCTGTGACATTTTATATCATCAAAACAAAGGACTTATCGATCCATCTGTAGATAAAACAACAAAAATAGTATCCGCATTTTTTAAACGCGGGTCAAAAATCTAGTCTTCTTTAAATTACTAGTGATTAAACAAGTGGAAAGTAATTAAAACGTTTATAAAGAAGACAACTTTGAATAGTTGACTTCAAAAGAAGTGAAAAGAAAGAGAATAACTTTGATTGAGAATACACCACCATTATCTACCATCTTTTTAATCTTTGCTTTTCTTAATAAAAGACAACGTTCACCAAATCCTCTACGTGTTCATAATAATCCAACTATGATTAATCTTAAAAAAAAAAAGACAAAGTCTTTATCAAAGTAGTTCCGCTCTTAAGACGAGATTAATGCGTTGTTTTTAAAAGTGTATATTTCTGTTAGGGGGTTGCCTGTCTCTCCTACCACCTCTTTGACCTTTAATGATGGACTCATAAGTTTGGTGCAAAGTGACCAAAGGAAGACAAAAAGAGTCGATCTTTGGAGACTTTACTCTTTCTCTCTTTGGGAAACTTTGTCCTGGTTGCAGTGAAAGTGAGCAAAAACAATGGGGGTTGTCTCAGAAGAAGCTATTGATGAATTCCTGGAGCTCATAAATCAAGGTCTCACCTTTTTTCCTCTTTTACCTCTTTCTGCTCTTATTAGTAAATTACTAATTTGGGAAACAATTTGTACCAGTTGAGGAGCCATTGAAAAAAACATTTGAGGTATGTTCTGTTTTTCTTTTTGTTGTTGTTGGAGTATGTTCTGTTTTTTGTCTTTGTTCTTGGAAATGGGTCAACCCCCATTCAACAGATTCGAAATATTAGATCCACTTATACTGACACATTTGATCTTTGTTTGAGTTTGACTGGTTTTTCTGTAATAGTGGTTAAACTTGATTCCTTAGGATTTTTTGCATCTCTAGGCGTGTGATGAGCTAAGAATTGTTGCGTTCATGCTCCACGCTTCTTAGTCTTTATTGTTTTATGAAATTGTAATTAAGTAAATGGAAACGTATTTGGGAAATTTGCAGAGTGTCCATCAAGGGTACCTGAGGGAGCATTTGAGTCGTTTTCTGAAAGCACGAGATTGGAACGTAAGCAAAGCTCATTCAATGGTAATGCTATATCCCCCAAAACACTTCATTGTTTGGTTTGAGTGTGTCTTGGTTTCAGCGTTTTTTTTTTTTATGTGTAATTCACTTTCAGCTGGTTGAGTGTTTGCGTTGGAGGGTGGATAATGAAATTGACAGTATCCTATCAGTGAGTTATTCACTTCCTCTTTCCTTTCTCTGTTTTGAAAGCTCTATGTTGTGTGGCATTAGTTATGTTTTTTCTTTCTGCAGAAACCTATTGTTCCTAGTGAGTTGTACAGGAACGTGCGGGATTCTCAACTCATAGGAATGTCAGGTTACACTAGAGAGGTAACCCCCATAGCATTGCTCATTACCCTTTTCTGATCAAAACTGTTCCGAATTGGTGTTAACCTTTATGCTTAGGGCTTACCTGTCTTTGCTATTGGTGTTGGTCTCAGCACATTCGACAAAGCTTCAGTAAGATGATTCATTGTTTTGTCTTGGTCTTGATAAGATAAAGTGAGAAACAAAAAAAATAAAAATGAATGTGCTTATTCTTCCACATACAGGTTCACTACTATGTTCAATCTCACATCCAAATCAATGAATACAGAGACCGTGTATTACTGGTAAATACATAGCAAATGGCTAAAAACATTTCTTTTTGGTTACTTTCTTGCTGTAATGTGTAAAACAATGTTACAGCCTTCTATGTCTAAGAAGAACGGACGGCCAATCACCACCTGTGTTAAGGTTTTAGACATGACAGGGTTAAAACTTTCGGCGTTGAGCCAAATTAAGGTATGATAGTCCATCTTTGTGGACTAAGTTACATCATGAATAATGATACTTTTCTTCATAACTTTGTGTGTCAACATTTTGATGCAGTTAGTGACTATCATATCGACCATAGATGATCTGAACTATCCAGAGAAGACAAACACGTACTATGTTGTGAACGCTCCATATATATTTTCTGCCTGTTGGAAGGTAAGCCTTTTGTTTGCAACTCAGGGTGTTAGCTACTTAGAGTGTAAATGTGTGAATTTTTATTTGCAAACAGGTTGTAAAACCTCTTTTACAAGAGAGGACGAGGAAGAAAGTTCATGTGTTATCTGGTAGCGGAAGGGATGAATTATTGAAGGTATTTGTTTCCTTATGATCTTGGTGTGAAATGCAAAGTTTTCTAAATCTTTGGTGGTTTCTTGTAGATTATGGACTTTACATCCCTCCCACATTTCTGTAGAAGAGGAAGCTCAGGGTCATCTCACCACACTGAGAGTGTAGATTGTTTTTCTTTTGATCATCCCTTTCATCAACAGCTATACAACTATGTGAAGCACCATTATGAGACACAGGGTCAAGCAGAACCTGCAAAGCAAGGATCATTCCACGTGGGGTTCCCTGAGCCTGAAGCTGAGCGTGTGCAGATAGCCAAAACTATAGAGTCGGAACTGCACAAGTTTGAGAATTGTAATGGTCTATCCAAGCCTGCTGATAACAGAAAAGTCAGTCCATGAAACACTGGAGGATGATGCTTCTGAAGGGATTACCTTTCAGGTGAGCTAGCAATTCAAATGAGTGAGTTCGGAGCTTTCTCTCATCTCCCTAGCCATGCAAATCTATCTTAGACTGAATGTCCTCCTGGCTTCATGTAAAGTGTTATTTGATCCTATGGATAGACATTTGTAGCAAAATTTATTTGTGTTTTTGTACAATGTAAAACAGAGACTGAAGAAATCCACTTCTCAACTCCCTAAGCATCTGAGTGAGTGCTAGTCTATGATCTCATTCTTTCAAAGAATTGTGGGTAAAGGTAACACATCACTGGCTTCAACAATTCACCATATAGTGTACTAATATTAGTTTGATTTCTAACACACTTTTATTGGATCTCTCTCAAGTACAAAGTTAAGCAGTCTCATGAGAATATACTCACGCTTTGCGTTCTATAACAACATCTATTGGCTTCACACTGCTGAATACCCTATTGTCTTCTCCGACATGGCAACACGTCAACAAGTTGAAGACTATTGTATTGGGAAACATTAATCGACGTGTCCTCTCTTGTTTGTTTAAAGAGGGAGCTTACATGAGCTCAAGAACAATTGCTGATGCTCCTCCTCATCCGTTGCATACTGATGCCACTCCATACTTTCCCTTTCTATTGCTCTCAACACCTGCATCAGAAGGATTCAACCACATCTTTTAGGGTGGATTCAGTTCAGTTCAACACCATTGTTGCCTTTTCTTAGGACTTACCCCGAGTAGTGTAACCAAAATACGAGCACCTCTGCATCTCAGTGGGTGTCCAAGTGAAACAGCCCCTCCATGCACACTCAGCCGTTCCTGTTGTTATATACATTATTAAAGACACTGAAACTAAGACTCAAACACCCATTAACTGTACCTGTTTAATGTCTCACAGAATTTAATCCCAGCAGTTTCTGATTGGCTAGAGCTACAACCTATGGAGGGAAACAAGTAAGAACAATCATAAGTCTATGAAAAACTCAGGTGCCTGGCAGCATCAGCGTATCCTCTAATCTTAGTGATAACATGCAGTCCAAGCTAAAGAGCCCTTTTCTCCACTCACCAGCACTCTAAAGCTACTGCACCATCACTGTCCGTTAACATAAAGCCAGAGATGAGAAGGAAAAGAGTTGCGTATAAAATCACAACTTTGGATTCTGTGCATAGTTGTAAAACTCATCAACCTATCCGTTTGGTGGCAGAGAAGGACGATCAGGCTTTTGTTAAGATGATTATGAGGAAACTTCAAAGAGACAGAGGTGGAAGAAGAGATAAAGAACATGTGTTACACGTCAGATACCAATATCAAAGTCGGTTTGCATGATTGATTTTGCCCCTTTCTTCCAAGATATTGTAAGATATGAAAATTTGTCTTCAGTTAACAATAAAGTTGCTAATGTATCCACTAGATTCATATTCCTAAATATAATGAGAACAGTACAGTGTATATCACAGATTCCTAAACAAGGTGACAAGATTTATTAGCTGGTGAGTAGTCACAGGGCACAAAGGGTAAAGCTTCAAAGCCTTAAAAGCTGTTTCACATTCATTTGGAAACAAAAAGTCCATGTTTCAATTTAACTAACACAAAGGGGTTGCTTGTCACAAACTACATACCACACACACTTGGATTCCTTTATCCCTACTCTTTAGTTCCAGGAGGAGGATCAATCAACTTGATCTTCAACTCAATCTCACCCGATTCAACAGCGCACAGCTTCGACCACACGCTCTGCACCACCTCTCCATCTATGCAACTGATTGTGCTCTCACGAGATAAGCAGTTGTCTGAATCCGGTAACACTTTCCTAAGCGTTGTCTCGCCAGAGGAGACACGCACTATATGCCTTAGTCTGGCAACTGATATGAGTGGTTGAAGGCTGAGAGTGGCATGACCCATCTTGTCATCTGCCTTGAACCTATCTTTATCAAACACTTCCTGGAAAACCACCTCCACATCAATAATCTCATCATCATCATCACCATGATGGTCACAAAAGGAAAAAAATGAAGATTAAAAACATACCAATGAGAGAACTGCTGCAAGATCTTATAGTGTAAAGCTCAGTTCCTCATCCCACACAGGGTTCAAGCAATTGTTGATCACTTCGGTCTTGGCTGACTGGTTTTCAAAACAGTAAAACAAAATCACATCAGCTAATTGCAGCAACATAATGTAAAACAATGTCACACTTCAGACTCTGCTGAAAAAACAAACAATAGATGTAACTGCTAAGGACAGTGAGCAATGAGCATTGATTATGGTTATCATCACAAAACTTACCTCATTTCTCAACTTGACTATCACGTAAGGATCACCAGTTTATTTCCTTGAATAACAGTCACATGGAGCTGTCCTAGTGTCTCAACCATCTCTGACCTTAAGAACACAAAGCTACCAGCATTAGAAAAAATCAGGCAGCTAAGCAGTTTCACACACTTACCTTGAATTCCAGAGTGAAAGATGCCAAGGCCAAAGCAATAGAGTTAACTGTTGACAGGTGTCGGATCATAGACGTTAAGATACACATGTGTGAGGCCTGAGAAGTCTCTAATGATCTCTTATACTTCTTTATTGTCCGCACTTGAGCATAAGCTTTCGATCAAGCTCCCGCAATTCACATTCTACCAATCTAAATTTCCTTCTTTTTTTTCCAATTCAAATTTCATAGTCCAATCATTCTTTCTTTCCTCCTAAACCTCTGCAAATTTTGTGTGTTTGTGTTTGAGACATCATCAACATCACCATCTTCCTCTAGACCAAAACTGGACAACACAAAATTCCATTTTTGTACTGAAAACTATATGATTCTAGGAACCAGTCCAAGTATCTTCTTTGTTATTCACCTGCTTCCCTGTTTTTCCAATCATAGCTTGTGTTTTGATATGTCTGTTCTACTAGCGGTAGAATTAAATGAATCTTACTCACTAGCTGGCTCGATCCAACTGTCTAGTAGGATCATGTTGAATCAATGTTTTTAAACTCTGTTTTTTTTTCTGAATAACTTCTTTTAACCCTAGGGTCAGGAAGGCGCAACAACATGATCATGGTTAGAGGCCTAGCCATCTGGTTTGCAACACGATAAGAAACTGAGCTGCTCGGAGCCCAATCTCCTGCTGCTGAAGTTCTCCTTTCTTAGCCTAGAAACTGTACGAATCTGCTCCAACAGTTCAGCGTCTGAGCAAGACACCAATCCATCGTAAATTCGTAATGGAGTAGAGATCCAAATCACCAACCTATTTTTCCATTCTACAAGAAACGGGAACTTAGCAATTAACCTTGTATATGGTTCTGTCTACTGTTCCAAACCCTGCAAAAATATACAAAAGACTGTCATAATGTGAAGTGAGAAGCAACCAAAGGATACTAAAGAGCATGACCACCGTCTATGGCGTTTCCGAAGCTGTGAGAATCCGAAACGGTGTACCACTCTTTTCTTGACTGATTCGGCGACGGATTATGAAGGAACCGCTGCGAGTACCAGTATTTGATTATTATTTTTTTGTCAATTTATTTTTTCATTAGAAAAAGGCCCAACTGAGCAGATACAATGAAGATCAACCGGCCCATTTCTTATTAATTACAACTCAACATAAAATTTAAACCCAAAGATGATCTAGCACATGAAGCCATCCACCCGTCTAAAACTGATAGCACCTATGACACGTGTCTCCGTCTTCACGCGCCGCCAGTGTGGAATGAGAGCTTGTCGACTCCGCCCACAATCAACGATTGCACCAACTTCGTCATCGGAACCGCCAATCTTCACCTTTGGACCTTTCGCTAAACACCCAGACCAATCAATCGGATAAACTCTAACTTCATTGCTGATTCGATCGGAGGAAACTCATGCCGGCTGAAGAGAGATTCTTCTTCGGACCGCTTGTAGCGCCAACTCTGCTGAACCTGCTTCATAAAGGCCTAAGAAACCTAACAAAATCAACCATCCTTCATCCGAAAAGCTTTACTTCAACGGCAAACTTAGTGGCAATAGTAACAGTAAAGACTACTGGTTTATTCCCGTAGAAGAAGGTTCAGTTGAAGCGAGGAAGAAGGTATCCGAAGAAGAACAGTCGACGGGATGGAATGAAGAGCAGCGAAAGGGTGAAATTTTACAGACCTGATTTTATTTATCTCAATCAAACTGGGAAAAACATAAAATTGATACTCTGCCCAGATTTGACCAAGAACAATTCAAAATTCGCCAATGCGAAAGGAGAATCCGCAAACAGAAACAAAAAGATCGATCAAGTGATCGAATATCTTACAAAACAAAACGAAGAAACTCTCAATCCGTTTGAAAGATAAATCTATTCTAGAAAAAAAAAAGAGTTTTTTTTTTCTAATGATACAAGTTGTCATTTAAATTTGGACTATTTCTATAGTGTTACAAATAATATAAGTCATATAGTTGATTGAACTATATTACTTAAATTAAACCGTCAGTTATTTATATGATAAAATATTAAGATTATTTTTGTTTTTATGACAAATTATATGTTTTGGTTTTTGGGCTTAATATTAAGGGAATACACCAAAAAAACATTGAATAAAATTTTCACCTTAATAGATCAAAAAATTAATAACTATTTTCAGGTTCAAAGATATTTAATATTTTTAACAAAACAAAATTGTCTATTATTAATCACTTATTTAAATCATGTATTTTAAAAAAATTTAATATATTTTTTATTTTAAATAACAATTACTCTGTTTTGATAAATGTCAATGGTAACTTTAAAATAATTTTTTTTTAAAAATAATTTACTGATTTTAAAATAAATAAATGTAAAGCAAAAACAAATAAATGTAAGGTAAAACCAAAAATCAAATCTAAAAACTAAAATCCAAAACCAAAGCTGATAATGCATGTTATATTGCTTTTGTTTATTTACAAAATAAACTGTTGCAATTTTTTTAAATTGTCATCTTTTCAATTTTAAATTATATGTTCGATTATTTGGGATTTGATTGTTGGTAATATCAATTCAAACTAACTCAGCAGATCTAAAAACTAAATATCCAAACCAAAAGCTGAAAATAAAAAATAGAAACTTAAAAACTAAAAACCAAAATCTAAAAATAAAAACTGAAACTAAAAACTAATGCAAAACAATTATCACTACACATTTTTGATTACTGATTTTATACCAAAACATATTTTAAATAAAGAAAAAACCCAATTATATAAATTTTTAAGCATAAAAAATTTCGCGCTTGAAAACCACATGTCAAAATCTAGTATGTGTTAAGAGGGAGGGAAACGGAGAGAGAAATTATCTCTCTATGGAGAGGAGTGAGAGTTCAGATGTCACCAGTAGTTAATAACTTGTAGTATTATTTCATATTTATTTTTTTTTCTCAACATCAACTTTAATTAGAACCCTGAAAGAGTTTCATACACAAGGTTTATCAGACTCTACAGTAGACTTTAACCACAATAGAATATAACTTGGGAACATAATTCATAAAAGAAAAAGCTTCCTTTGCTATCCTATTTGCTGCCATATTTCCTTTCCTTGGGTGATAGTTCAACTCAAAATCTATGACCTTCTTCAAGTGTGGTTGATGTCCTGAATAATAGGTTGTAGTCGTTGCCCAGTGACTTCTTCTCCTCTGATCATTTTAATCAGCATTTGTGAATCAGATTCCGATATGATATGCTTATAACCAAAGTTTACCATTGTCGTAACCGTCCATCCCAATGCTTCTGCTTCAGCTTCAATTGCAGAACCCACACCTTGATTTTTTCTAGCTCCTACCCATAGCCCTCTCCCATCTCGATCTCTGCTCAACCAGCCCAAACCTGCACCATCTCCCTTATGGTTCTAAGAACCGTCAGCATTGCATTTAATCCAGTGATCACTGGGCGGTTTCCAGAATCTTAGTTAAGAAATTGTTTTTGGGACTTTCACCTCACTATTTTTCACCTCACATCTTTACTTCCACTCTCTTGCATCCTCTATTGTCTTCCTTATAGTGTTGTCTCCATCATAATCTTTCCCCTTGAAAATATATTCATTCCTGTTTTTTTCATAACCTCTAAAGGATCCAAGGAGCTACCTCTAAATGCTCATCTTTCAAACTTCCATCCTAGGGATTTCTCAGCACATGATATAGGTTTGAAAAGAGGGAATTAGATAACACTCCACCTTTGGGATCTTTGATCGGAGAAAGGGCCCATATAAGTCTCGCGTATGGACACTGGAAGAGCAGGTGATTAACTGATTCTGGAACAGAGTCACACCGAGGACAGCTAGCTTCTTTTGCAATGTGTCTATGAGTCATGTTCACAGCGATTGGTAGAGAGTTACTCAGACACTTCCACAAGAAATATTGAAGTTTCGGACTTGTGTCCATTTTCCATATAGTTTGAAATAAACTATCTAAGCTCGGCTGGGATACTTGTGCTTGTGTCCACTTCCCCTCCACTACGTTTTTTTGCACCCAATATCCAGACCTAACACTATAAGCCTGATTTAGTGTACTCCCAACTATAAACATCCTCACTCTGCAGCCCTCCTGGTCTGATAATTTCAATCTTCTCGATCTTATCAGGTGGGAAAATCCCCTGCAAAAAGGGTATGTTCCTTTCTTTTGTCCCTTCAATCATCAACTCTGCTACCCTTATATCGGGTGATACTACTTCTGCGTTCTGACATAAATTGAGAATTGTTTTTTGGACCCATGTTGCAGGCTTACTCTGGACCCACTGTTCCTGCCATATGTTGGTAGATCGGCCATTACCAATGACCACTCTCGCACCCTGCCGCATTAGTCCTTGAGCTGAATGAATGCTTCTCCAAGCATAAGAAGGCTTTGATCCGAGAGAGGCTGAGAAGGGATCAATTTTTGAAAAATACCGCGTTTTGAAGATTCTGGCCATCAGAGAATCTTTATAAAATGCCATTCTCCATAATTGTTTTCCTAAGAGAGCAAGATTGAAAGCCTCCAGGTCCCAAAATCCTAGACCGCCTACTAACTTTGACTTAGTTAAATACTCTCAACTCTTCCAATGCATCCCTCGGCTTTCTTGCTTGTTCCTCCACCAAAAGTCTGCCACAATTGCAATGATCTTCCTACAAAGTGTTTTAAAGAGAAAAAAGCAACTCATTGTGTACGTGGGGAGGGCCATCGCAATGGATTTAAGAATCACTTCTTTACCTCTTGGCGAAAGGAACCTCATATGCCATCCTTGAACTTTTTGGCTTATTCTTTCCTTGAGATGGCTTAGTAGAGACACTTTGGAGCCTCAAAATGATTCAGGTAAACCTAAATACATTCCTTCACCTCCAGTCTCCTGAACACCCAGCGTTTCCTTGATGGTTACTCTTCTATCCTTTGGCATGTGTTTACCAAAGTAAACGCTTGATTTCTGATAATTTACCCGATGAACGGAGGCTAAGCTATACTTCTCCAATATTTGAACTAGCTGGTGAAGTTCCTCGTCATTACCTTTACAATAAAATAGTCTATCATCCGCATATAGGAGACGGGAGACTGCCAGAGCCTTTCTAGCCAATTTGAGTCCTGTGATGAGTGTTTTCTCTTCTGCTCTTTTCATCATCTGCACCAGAATCTTAGTACAAATCACAAACAGATACGGTGATAGGGGGTCTCCCTGACGTAGGCCTCTAGACGGTTTGATAATCCGGCATCACCATTCCGCGAAACCAAGAACCCTCATTTCTTTCTCCAAGAAAGACCATTCCACCCTATCATAGGCCTTTGAGATGTCTGTTTTAACTGCAATGAACTCCTCTAAACACTTATTCCTTGAATTTAAAGTGTGTAACAGCTCATGTGCTATCAAAATATTATCAGAAATAAGTCACCCTTCCACAAAAGCTGCTTGAGTTTCAGAGATAACAAATGGCAGCACCTTCTTTAACCTCTTAGCCAAGATCTTAGTCACTATTTTAATAACTACATTACATAAGCTTATCGGCCTGAAGTCCTTCAAAGATGTGGCGTTTAGCTTTTTGGGGATTAAACAGATATTGGTTTTGTTTATCCCCTCCTTAAGCACTTCATTCTGGAAGAGGTTCTGAACCATTGCAGTCACTTATGCTCCCGTCGCATCCCAAAACTGCTGGAAGAGAAATCCATTCATGCCGTCTGGTCCAGGACACTTATTGGATTGATGTCAAATACTGCCCTCTTGACCTCCTCTTCTGTAATCTCTATAAGCAGTTCTTCAGTCTGTTCTCTTGAGACCAGGCTTAGGATCTCAGACCAGTCATCTATCTCCATTCCCACATCCTCCAACGCAAACAACTTCTTAAAGTATCCTTCAGCTACTCTTCCAAGGTCCTAGTCCTCAAACCATTCCTTACCCTCTTCATCTATGAGGCTTTTAATACAGTTTATGGCTCTTTTGTTCTTTGTAACCGCGTGGAAGAATCGCGTATTTCTGTCCCCTGCTTGCAACCAGTCCAGTCTACTTTTCTGCCTCCAAAAAAAATCCTCATTATAATACTCTTCATTGAGCTCTTTTCTCAACAAAGATAGCTCCTCGGCTTTAATAGTGACATCTCTGGTTGCCAAGTCCAGACTGTGATGAAGTTCCTGAATTCTTAGCGCTGAATTTGTCTTTGCACTTATTTTCCACTCTGAATTAGATTTCCTGCAGTATGCTATTCTTGCCATTAGTCCTCCCTGGTGCGGCCTTTGAGCATGCCAACTATTCACCACAGTCTGAGTAAAACCCTCTCGCTTCACCCATCTCTGATCATACTTAAATCCTGCTTTCTTCTTCCATAGATGTCCTTCAAACATTGTAAGTACATGACTATGATCAAAGCAGATTTTCCTCAAATATTTAGCCTTAGCGTATGGAAACAGGTCCAATCTTGATTAGCCACCGTCTTGTCCAACCTACATTGCACAAGATCCTCATTTCTGATTCCATACCACGAAAACTGGTACCCTATATGCTTAACATCCAACAAACCACAAGCATGAAGCATGGTTCTAAAATCTCTTCTTTCCCCTTCCATTCTTTGGGCACCACCTAATTTTTCTTACTGGTCCACCATCTCGTTAAAATCCCCAGTCAGAACCCATGGTTCACTTCGGCCTGTACCTATTCTCATAAGCCTTTCCCATGCCTCATTCCTTCTGTTCTTGATAGGCTCTCCATAAACCCATGTTAGTAGAATATTTTATCCTGCCATTGAACCTTGGTGTCAATCATTCTTTTGGTAGCCTGCTTAACCTCGATCCAGCAAGACTCCTTCCACATGATCGCTAAGCCCCCGCTCTTACCAACTAGTTCAACTGTTCTCAAACCATGGTACCCTAGTTTCTCCACAACTTCTTCGAGGTACCATCGTTTTTTTTAGTCTCACAAAGAAATATTATCTTAGGAAGATATTGACCAGATATCTCCTGTAGATGTTGAACTGTCGAGGTATTCCCTAGCCCCTAATAGTTCCAACTCAGTATTCTCGGTCAATATCTTCCTGTAGATGTTGAACTGTCGAGGTATTCCCTAGCCCCTAATAGTTCCAACTCAGTATTCTCATTTTTGGATCGAAGGATCGGTATTAACCATCAACCCTTCTTCCAAAATTTTCCCACTTACTATTCCATGAACAGAATGACTGGGACTGTTAGCTGCCACATGAGCAGAATGTTGTTTGCATGTCTATCTTCTTCTCGCTTGAGCTTATCTCCTTTCATCTTTGATGGCCAAGCCTTTGAAATACCGATGAGGGGTTACTGCCGTCCTTTTCCTCTCCCACTCTCGGCTTCTTAGCACTCTTTTCATCACTCCTACTGAGTCTTCTCCTTTTAGTGCCACTTGGATCTCCTATGCTTTTATCGAAGGTGGGAGTGGATGTCGGAGTATGTCCTAGCCTCTCAAAAACTGATGGAGAGCTCTTACTACCCTGACTCGAATGTCCTTTCTTTTCCCCTCTTACTGATACTCTGAGAGCTCCAGTTGGTTTTTGCAAACTTCTTCTTGGCGTCGTGTTACCTCTCGTGTCCCTCCAAACCTGTTGAAAACTGATTTTGGAGTTTGACTCGCATCCGACCCCACCCGCTTATGTCCTCCACTTGTTCTTCTTCCACCTGGTGAGTTGTCTTGAGGGGCATGATAGTTGGATATCTCTAAACTCTTAGAGGATGTGTCTTTAAACTGCTCTGACCCTTGACTAGATTTCGCTTTCCAGATCTGTGAGTGGTTCGAGATTGCTTTTTTACTTCTCATATCCTGTTGGTTAGCGATCCTCTGCACCCCACTGCTTCCAGATATTCGTTTTGGTTTGGCCCGAGAGATTTTTTTTCTCTTGCTCTTCTTATTTCCATTCTCAACCTTGTTAGCTACAGCAGTCCTTTTCAAACTAGTAGGCAAACTCTTCCTGATATTATCTTCATGTTCCTAATAACTAGCCTCTTCCATTAAAGAACAATGCGTTTGATCATGTGTTAATCACTTGAAGGTGAAGCACACTTTGATCAGCTATCATACTCTAGTTCTGTAGGAACCACATTTCCCGTTCTGAATCTTGCGATCCTTCTAAATTGGAGAGGATCATCAGCGTTTATTCATACCAACGCTCTCACATACTCCACCGAGTTACAATTCTTCGCATGAAGCTGAACCTCTTCAACCTTTTCTAAGGGACCCATCAGATTTTCTACTGTATGTTTCTTAAGAAGGTGGATCGGTGGACAAAAAGAAAAAAAAAAAAAAAAAAATCTAAAACTAGAAAAATAGAAAGAATGACGCGTGTTATCAGACTTTGTAGTATTTAATAACGCGTGTTATCCAAAACTAAAAAAACAGAAAGAATGAAAAAAATAAAAAGAAAATCTAACCAGACAAAAATAAATAAATAAAAGGAAATCTTCGACTAAATCACCTCTATTTAATACCCTGCAGGCGTCTCTCCCTCTCACACATTCAACCTGTGCTAATTAAAAAAAGAAAAACAATGCTAAAGAGGAGAGAAACTTGTTCGCTAACAATGTTGGAGAGTGGAGAACAAGCAACGATTGATATTGAAGCAATCGTGTCATGCAAATCTTCATCCAACACTCTAGAGATAACACTAAAGCGTGATAAAGAAGTGCTTCTCGAACGCCAGCATGACGGATCGGTGGACACTTTAGGATCAAACATAGCTGCCCCATTCCCAATCCCTCACATCCTCCTAAAAGACATTGTTAGTTTCGAACCGCACAACATCAATCCTCTCCTCCAATTAGACCCTGTTTTATGCGATCATCTTTCTGTTAAAATCGCTTCCAAAGCAGCCGAGGAGCAAGTTCCAGGACCATTATACATCTCCCTACACGTCACAGTCACCCCACACAGATTCCTATTCCTAGAAGACGAACCCGAACTAGACGAGGAGATGGAGATAGAGACATGCGCCATTTGTTTGGAGGAGCTAAATCCCAAGGGTGAAATCTATTTCGACTTGCCAAATTGTTCTCATCAGTTTCATGATCTATGTATATACATGTGGTTGAGTCGTAGCAACAGTTGCCCTCTCTGCCGCACTGTTGCTGAAGATGATGAGTTTGTATGATTGACACTTCTTTTTTTGTTCATGTCTTCCTTATAACACGCAAAACTCTGCTTTTTTTTTTGTTTTCTCTTTGAACAACTTATTTTTGACCTAGGAGGCTAGGAGGCGCAACAACATGATCATGGTTAAATTTCCGTAACGCTTTGGACATATTCTTTGAGATAAATACGTAACAATAATTTAGGCCTAAAGATTGAATTTACTTAAGATTCAACCTTTGATCTCTTCATCGTGGCAAAGCTGAGAAACGAGCGTGGTCTTTCCGCATCCGGGAGGAGCAGACAACAGGAGAGACTGTCCACGGAATCACTGATGAGCTTCTTCTTTAGATTCTTCATTGGCCAATCTAATCCAACCAGTACCTTATCAAGCTTGGGAACCGAACTAAGGTCTCTAAAACAGGCACAGGAACACTCAAGCTTTCATTTCTCTTACTTAAATAGCCAACCTCATCCACAAGGTTAAATGTACTCTGCAATTGGTGCCTTAACTGGATAAGCAGTTACAGTAAACAGAATAGTATATAGAGAGAGGATTTTATTAGGGAAGTTAATTGGTTGGTTGGCCTCTTGTGGCTAGGGCTTGCTTCTCGAGAGAGATCAAGATAGCTTTCTCTTGTAATCCTTGTGTAATCCTCTGTTCTTGATATAAATACATCTGAGTTCTATCACAACCTCACAGAAGTGGAGCATCTTCCTATTCATTCTCTCAATTTCTAGGCGTGAGATTGAGCTAGAATTGTTGCGGTCATGCTAGAAAGCTCTATGTTGTGTGGCATTAGATCATGTTTTTTGGTTTCCGCAGAAACCTATTGTGCCCAGTGAGTTGTACAGGAACGTGCGGGATTCTCAACTCATAGGAATGTCAGGTTACACCAGAGAGGTAACAACCATAGCATTTCTCATTAATTACCCTTTTCTGATCAAAACAGTTCTTAATTGGTGTTAACCTTTATGTTTAGGGCTTGCCTATCTTTGCTATTGGTGTTGGCCTCAGCACATTTGACAAAGCTTCGGTAAGAGGCTTCATTGTTTTGTCAAGATCAAGTGAGAAACAAAAAAGTGAATGTGCTTCTCTTCTTCCACATACAGGTTCACTACTATGTACAATCCCACATCCACAATGAATACAGAGACCGTGTATTACTGCTGAGTACATGGCGAATGTCGAAAAATTTTTAAACTTTCTTTCTTTTTGTGATGTGCAAAACAATGTTACAGCCTTCTATGTCTAAGAAGAACGGACGGCCAATCACCACCTGCGTGAAGGTTCTAGACATAACAGGGCTAAAACTTTCAGCGTTGAGCCATGATAGTTCATCTTTCTAGACTAAGTTACATCATGTATAATGATACCTTTCTTCATAACATTTTGTTGCAGTTAGTGACTATCATATCGACCATCGATGATCTGAACTATCCAGAGAAGACCAACACTTACTATGTTGTGAACGCTCCATATATATATTTTATGCATGTTGGAAGGTAAGCCTCTTGTTTGCAACTCATGGTGTTAGCTATTTGGGATATTCTTGTACGAGCTTCTCTTTGTGAGAACGCCTTTCAAGGGGTCAGGAGAAACAGACAGACATTGCTCAATGTAGTTGGTCAGCCTCTACTGTTCCCTGAAACACCTGTTGTGAGTTTTGCAGCGAGAGACCTTATCAGAGGCCTGCTCATGCAGGAGCGCCGCAGCAGCGTCTGGGGTTCAAAAGAGGGGCCACTGAGGTCAAGCAGCACCCGGTCTTTGAAGGTGTGAACTGGGCTTTGATTCGTTGTGCTACTCCACTAGAGATCCCAAACCCTGTTAAGCTGGAGAGTGGACCTGTTAATGTGAATGTTTGCAGAGGAACCATCAAGCCAGAAGACAGCAGCAGGTTTGGTTCTTAATGCTGAGAAAGGCTCTGATAACTATTTGTTACTCTCTTCTTTACTTTAGAGACAATGTGGTGAAAGATGATCATAGATTGTATCTTTGTTTTCTCTATGCATAAGCTACTGTAGTTTATAAAGTGTTGCAACTCCTTTTTACTCTCTCTCTATTAAACCAAACTTGAAACATAACATCAATATATATAATCTTTCATTCTCTCTCATTCCGTTTAACTATTAGTTTTAGGCTTACTAAAAAAAGCAAATGCAAGCAAAAGGATCATTGGATTGATCTTTCTTTAGCCGCTGCTCTTTTGGAGACCTGGAGGGAGTTCTATGCTGGTATTTTAGGGACTTGGAGGGGACTCTCTCCATCACAGCATCTCTTTTCTTTGGCATATGACTTTAACCTCACACATTTCTGCTGCAGAGCCCCTCATTTATCTGTTCAGGAACACTGTTTCCTCTTGTCGAATTTGCTTTCCTACAAGAAACAGACAGAGAGAAGACTTGTCCTGTCATCTGACAGCTAAAAGAATAGTGGCCAGTGATCTTGTATATATAAGTACCTTGCATTAGACTTGTCAATACCAAGAACAAGCTTCTTAATGTGAAGAATAGTGATTAGGTCTTGTAAAGCCTTTGCCACCGAGTCACTCTCCACCAGTATTGTCTCCACCTATACCTTAGAAGCAGAGCAAGCGTGAAGGAACTTGTTCAAGAGAGTTCTTCTCTTCTCCCTTTCTTGAGACATAAAAGGTTTCAAGTTGTTCTTGACTCCTTTCTCCCTTGTCAGCCTCCCCACTACACATACATACACTTGAGTTCCTATTTCATCAAAAGATAAGAAGTGGTAAGAAAAGGAGAAGATATACAGACAAGGATAAGGGATGGAGCGAGAGCGAGTCTCAGGGAAGACATGGATGAGGTAAAGAAGAAGTGATGAGATTGTCAAGAGCCCAACGCAAAGCCTCCATACTTAAGTCTCCTTTACCAACTCCAACATACACGTTGTCCTCACCGTTCATTGACACTGTTCCACTGTTGCTCTCTTCATACTGAATCTCTCGCACCGTCTCAAGTCCTCTCCTTCCATCTTCTTCTGCCTCCTCTTCTGTCTCATTGTTCATCTTCTTCTTCTCGTTGACTTTTTTTTTTTTTTTTTTGCTTCAAACCTTCTGACTTTCCTTAAATTTATATGCCTTGTGGAATGTAGTACAAGTTGGTTTTGGTGGTTTTTTTTTTGCGTGAGTTTTGAGAAAACCTGAAGTTTTCAAGACATTCATTGTACCTTTTACACTATCATGACAGTTTCCGTGTTTGGAAACTACTGTTTAACTAAATTTGCATCAGTGAATATATATAGAAATAAGTTAGTAAATGCAAATTATGAAGGAAAATGAATAGTTGTCTCTGCTAAATGGAAATGGTTTGTTACAAGTTGTTTTTTATTTGGACTCAAAAAACTCTAAACAAGACACGTTTCATTACGTATCACTACACTTGTCATCTACGCTTGAATCTGAAGACTTGCTTCCCTGCTGCTCTCTCCTCCACCCAACACTTTTCGTCTAAGCTTGAATCTGAATACTCTCTTCCCTGCTGCTCTCTCCTCCACCCAATATGTTTCAACAACATATAAACCTTGATACACAAAGGATGTCTTACCGTTTCCAAGATCATATCCACGTGTCACTCTAACCGGAGAGTTTTGCTTCATACTGCACATCAATGCCCTGTTACCTTTCTCCAAACTAGTTTGATCTTTTCCTATACCGCAGTAAAGTAGTTGATCGCCCATGAAAACGTTATTATAATCTGTACCTTCTGAAGCTACTATACTGGTTGCGAGCATCCTTCCTCGTCGCGTTTTAAGATAGTCAACCCCACTCATTAATGCAAAATGCAAACCAACTACACTCATCTCTGCCTTGTAGTCAAAGCTATCACCAACCCTGATTCCAGGTACTTCACCAATTATGTACTCTGTATTGACACACATGTTCTGATTCTTGAGGATTAACCTAGCATCGTGATCAGGACGTGTTGAGCGTCTGGCTTCGGGATCACGGTAAAGCTCCATAAAGATCATTTTGAACAACCTAAGAGCTTTTATCACCTTCTCACGTGGGGTCAAATCTCTCTCCATAAGTGGGATGGTCCCATGTGTTTGACTCTTACCACCACCGGATTCTGCAACATGTGGAGAGATTCGTCCATAAGCATTGCTAGCTTGTCTTTGATTCAGTTCTGAAGTAGATGCTTTCATTGTTGCAAACTCAATCACATCATCATCATCTTTAAACATGCCCTTTCCTCTGTTTAAAGTTGATCTCTTTTTACTCATTTTTCTTAACCTATCCAAATACAATGGAATAAAAGAGGATCAGAAACGAAAAAAAGGCACAAGCAGTTTTTGTTCTCGCAATTACAAGAGAACCAAATCACACAAAACCTCAAAGAGAACAAAAAGAAATTTTTTCTTTATAAAGAAAATAACTTTTTTGTGGCAAGAATGTATGTGTGTTTCGACTTACTCAAGTTTTTTTGCCTCAGCCCCAACCCAGTAATGATTCGTTGAGAAGATATAATGAAGGTTCTTGGCTGTTCTTGGAGAAGAAAGAAAGAAAGGGCAGAGAGAGAGAAGAGAAATGTTTAACGGAAACTGGGATGGAAAGAGGGGGAGATTTGATTTTGCTTGTTTGATTAATATTTGGATTTTTAATGTAAATACCCCTCTCCCCCCCCCCCCAAATAAGTTTTATTCAATAAAAGCCCCACAATAATTAAGAATGTAACCGAAAAATCCCTCAATTATTAGATCGACGTATTGATCAAAATCCCAAAACATTTCTACGAACATCACCAACGACCAAAGATAATAATATAGCCAGTTTTCACTACAAACTTGAGCATAAAACACCAATAAGGTATGAATCCAAGACAACTAACAACAACAATTAATCAAAAGAAACCAAAAACACTCCTAAAACTTAGCTCTAATATTCTCCAAGACACCAATAATCTCACTTATGTCTTTCTTCATATCTTTTTTTTTGGAAGGAATGCAAAATTTATTCAACCAAAAAACATGTTTACATCAAGTGCTACTTATCTAGAATGTTTTCCTGATAGTAAAAGAATTAATGAATGAAACTGATTTGAATAAAAAGGTGCTCCTAAGGCCGTGTGTCCTCGTTTCAAACCAAACAATGAGACCATCATTCATAGTTTGCACTCCATTTCGCTTTAAAGAACTCAGCTCCATATATGTTTTCTGCATGTTGGAAGGTAAGCCTCTTGTTTGCAACTTAGCATGTGAATTTGTGTATTTTAGTTGTAAAACAGGTTGTAAAACCTCTTTTACAAGAGAGAACGAGGAAGAAAGTTCATGTAGTCCCAAGGCACAAAGGGCAAAGCTTCAAAGCCTTAAAAGCTGTTTCATACATGTTACCATTTAACTAACACAAAGGGGTTTGCTTGCTAGAAACTAACACACCACACACATCTGGATTCATTTATCCCTAATGCTCCTTTGTTCCAGGAGGAGGATCAATCAACTTGATCTTCAACTCAATCTCACCGGATTCAACAGCGCACAGCTTCAACCACACGCTCTGCACCACCTCTCCATCTATGCAACTGATTGTGCTCTCACGAGATAAGCAGTTGTCTGAATCCGGTAACACTTTCCTTAGCGTTGTCTGGCCAGAGGAGACACGCACTATATGCCTCAGTCTAGCTACTGAGATGAGTGGTTGAAGGCTGAGTGTGGCATGACCCATCTTGTCATCTGCCTTGAACCTATCTTTATCAAACACTTCCTGCAAACCAACTCTCAGCATCAACATCATCGTCATGCTCATGATGGTCACAAAAAGGAAAATAATGAAGCATACCAATGCGAGAACTGCTGCAGGATCTTTTAGTGTAAAGCTTAGTTCCTCATCCCACACAGGGTTCAAGCAATTGTTGATCACTTTGGTCTTGGCTGACTGGTTTTCATGACAGTTAAACAACATCACATCAGCTAATGGCAGCAACATAAAGTAAAATAATGTCACACTTCAGACACTGCTGAAAAACAAACAGTAGTTGTAACCGCTAAGGACAGTGAGCATTGATAATGGTTATCAACACCAAACTTACCTCACTTCCCAACTTGACTATCACGTAAGGATCACTTGACTTGAAGTCTCGGATCGCCAGTTTCTTTCCTCGAATAACAGTCACCTGAAGCTGTCCTAGTGGCTCAACCATCTCAGACCTTAAGAACACAAGCCACCAGCATTAGAAGAAATCAGGCAATTAAGCAAATTTCACACACTTATGTTACACACTCCTCGTGAAAAAAACAGAGATAAAGTAACTGTCTTTAAGAGACAGTCAACAGAAAATGACAACCAGAATCACTAGTAATCCTAAATAAACTCGCAAGGAAACATAAACTCTGTTGGTTCAGCTTCTTGATACACAAAAACAAACTTTGGGAAAGAAACAGAAAGATCACACTTGGTGATCTATAATTTATAAACAACAGTAGTGGATTTCAAGCAAACCAAGATAGATCAAATGCTACACATCTATCTAGTGAGTATGCAGGAGGAAGATACCTAGATCGCAACAAGAACTTGATCAAGAACACACGGAGGATTAACAAATGCTCAAACTTTGTAAACAAACAGAAACTCGAGTCTACCAAACCAAAAGAAAGTAAAGAAAATAGAACCCTAAAGAATGAGTAAAGCAGCGAAGAATGGTACTAACTGAAAAGGAAGTTTCAGTGAGAAAGCTGCAAACTTACTGTATATAACAAACGGTAAAGGACAAAGACACACAGCTTTTAACAGCAAATAAAGAGAAGATTACGATACAAACTTACCAGTTTGGAAAGAAAAAGACAAAGGAGAGACTAACGCAGCTTCTCTAGTTAGCTTTGTAGATATGCAGCTGAGAGGAGGGAGGATGCAAATTATTACATTATCATTTGTTTTTATATTAAATGAAAAGAGATGCTGTCATAAAGACAAACTCTATGGTCTCGAGTCTCAAAGTTACAAAAGAATGTTTGACCAAAAAGCGTGAACATAAAGTTTTGATTTCTCGAGAACGTAGCTGCAACGGTGGTAAATCCAATTCCTTACTGCAGAGATTAGGTGAACCTAATTTATCATTATTAATTTAATAAGCAGCTTAAGTTCTTTTTGTGTTCAACGTTCATGGTATGGGTAAAACTTGTTTAAAAAAATTTGCTTATCTGCTTGGAACCAGGAATGGTCTCTGACACGCTTTGACTCAGTCTAATCTGTAAAGCTCCAATTAGGGCCCATGTCACCATAACTTTCTTTTTCATTATTAAGTGCAAAAGAAGCTCCTCTTTACATTGTATCCGTTCATGACATTATGAAACTGTTACTTGTCTAGCAGTGATAACGAAAGATATGTCCCAGATCGGAGTAATTATAAAGATGATCTAGGACCAACAACAGTGGAAGGGTAGGAGAAGAAAGTGGCCAAGTAGTGGAGTTCAAAAGAGAGCACTTTGAGTTAAGGAATGTAAGAGTTGTCAAATATTACCAAAGAAAACATGAATCAAACCCTACAAATAAAACACACATAGATACTACAATACATGAGCACATAAAGTGCCTTGAGTAGCTTGTTTTGTTTTGCCTATTATTCATTCATCCATCATCGTGGTTAGAACAAGTATGTATCACTAACCCTACAAATCTCACATTTTTTACCACATATTCACCACTTCAATCCAGAGACCACCAATACTTGAGGATAAACACCGTAAATTATGTTTTGTATTCTTCTACATCATACGACACACCTATGCTTCTTTCCTCGAGCTTGACTTGACCACTTTGCTTCTCCACGCTCCCTGCACATACATTTTAAACAATACTCACATCAGAACCCAGAAACTCTATACTCATCTCTCTGTTATGCTACCTCTAAGTTTTAAGAGAAAGGTAGGTTACAAGAGTCTCATTGTCAGAAGGCTCAGCATCCTCGGCATTGTCTTCAGCTTCATCTTCTGTCTCCATATCATCGTTTTCTTGTTTCTTCTCAGAATCTGAGTTGTCACCATCAGTTTCTTTTCCCTCAGGTTTTCCATTCGACTCTGCTTTTGCCTCCTGTAAATCACCTTCCTCGTCATCATCCTCGCCCTCTTTCCCCGTCTTTCCTTCGGATTCTGGTTTCTCTTCGCCAGCCTCCTTACCATATTCCTCGTCCTCTGTCATCTTCTCTGTGGTTGATTCCATATTCTTTTCATTTGTTTCTTCAGCAACTTCACCGACTGAATTGTTTCAATAAACAATGAATCACAAACAAACAAACAAAAATGCATCGTCCAATAAGATCATCCAACACTGTTTCCTTACGTATACGTGCATGAAAGGATTCAGAAACAATGGGGGGAACTAACAAAATTGGACAAAAGAGTGGAAGAAGTAGTCCAATGGAGCTTACTTATAGTGACAGCAGATCGTTTTTTCTTGGTTCTGCTCTCTAATTTCTCATGTTCGGAAGAGGGACTTCCTGGTGTTCCTTCCGGGTGCTTATGTTTTATGTATTTCTTCGGAGTTCTTTTCCCTTTTGGCCTAGACAATCAGGAAAAAAGAAACAAAAGGATTAATACGAACACAGAATACAAACAAAAACATAACCACACAACAGAAGAATGAGCTCGCATCTTAGACTTATAATGACAACATTTCACTTACGTGGTAGGAATTGGGTCTTCTTCCATTCGTAAGCCACCTGAATTCTTATACTTACTTCCAGAAGATCTAAAAGAAACAAAAAAAAAAAAGATTGCTGAACAAAACGAGACTGAATGGAGGACTACATGAAGATACATCATCCTAAGATGAAGAGTCTTACCCTTTCTTATTAGAACTTCGGTTTGATGTCTTGGACTTCTGCAGAAGGTAGAAACAGTTATTAAACAAACGGGAACGAATTAAGTAGATGAGATGAACTAGTGAAGATGGATTGACAATAATCTTAGAACCTTTGTTGGCTTTCCCGAGTCTATCAGCTCCCATCGTTCTTTATCTAGGCGAAGGACTTCGACATCTCCATCCTCATAGAGTATCTGATATCACAAGATAGAGTTCAGAGTTGGATGGACCAACTAACGCAAAAAAAAAAGACTAAGAACCAGATCGCGAAAAGCTTACCACATGTTTCTGTTTAGTGGAATCGTAAGATTTTACCGTGCCTTCATAAAACCTATTGATTTCACCAAGGTGTAATTGTTAGTGAGATAAACTCAGAAAAATAATGGTTGCATCAGATTGGTCACATAGTAAGAAAATGTAATTAAAATGTATCTTTGCATGACTGTCAGAGTTATATAACTTTTAGACGTCAAAGAAATATAACTCCAAAGGAGTTCAAAGAACAAAAATTCTGAAGGGAATACTACAATGATATCACTTTTCCAAACTTTCAGTCCAAGGAAGAGTACTAGAAAAATGCTTACCGCTTATCCATAGGCCACCAAACATCTATTCTGCAACCGATTAGTTCATCAGTGACCATTTTCTTTTCTGCTGTGGAGCACTGGACAAGAAATCAGGGAAGACGATAAATAAATTTAAGCATTATTTAGAAAAGTCACACTGTTAAACATCAATGGAAGGTAAAGCTCCTCACCTTAGCCATTCCTGTGATGCCTTTTCTTTTCCGCTTCTGCATTGATCCAGAACCAGACTTCAATCTATCACCACTTTCTGCTGACCTACTCTGCATTCATTTAAAAGAAAAAAAAATAGCATGTTAATAAACTGGACTAGAGGTACAATGAAATAATTGGTGCAACGCTATCAATGATTTTACCCTCTCACTGCAGTTGCCATCTTCGCTATGATTTTCCAAATCAGATTCTGAGTTCTTTAACTTTGATGAGAAGCTTTTTGTTCTCTTTCGGGAAGAGCTGCTACCTAATATCTTTTTCTGGTTTGAATTGTCATCGTTCGAGTCCATATCTCCCTCATCATGCAACTCTTTTTTGGAGCCACTATTTGAGAACTTGAAAGGACTATGGCCAAAAGATGATCTCCGGCGTTTAGGGACTGAAACTATTGATGTTGCATCCCCAGCACTCCTTTTGTTAGCCTTCTGATCCATTTCACCTGAGTTTGTTCTCTTTCCAGGGGAATGTGTGTGTCCATTACTGGATTCAAATTTATCCACCATGCGCAAGTGGTCCAGATTTATCTCCCTCACCATTTTCAAAACGTCGACATCACTTTTACCATTCTCATCTTCAGCTGGAACAGATTTGTTCTTTTCCCCCTCTCTACTCTTGGTTCTCTGAGCTCTTAAACGCTCTACTATTTTACCCAGAGGAATTTCATTATCATCACTTTCCTCATCATTCATACCCTCGTGCTCCGAAGTTTGGGGTATCACCTGAAAGAAGGAAATATATCATAAAAATACAGATATCACTAAATACTGCAACTCAGATTTTAAAGTTGGATAACATACAGATGAATCAGTATGGCTCTCCCACTTGAGAGTACTGAAGTGTGCCAATACAGTTTCATCAGCTATCCACAATTTCTCTTCCCCAACCTGTTGAAACAAAATGTCATGGGTTAGCAAAAGCATACAAGGGCAAAAATAGGAAGTTAGCAAGAGTAAATACAAAAGTGAAGACAAAATGAATCTCAGACTGCCACAGATTACTTGAAGTAAGACCATCATTAAAATATCCAGAAACACGAACAAGTTGTGGCTTCTTACCCCAGACTTGTCACCTTCAATTTTGTCAAAAGGTTTGTAAAGTGTTGGAGGCAGAGATACAGGTGTGAATTCCTCTTTTAGATCAGTCTCTTTCTGAGTTAACTGATTGATTACTGACAGCCCGAGCTCACAAATTGCATGTGAGTTCTGTAAATATAAAATTATGAGACTGTCAGCTCCAATAGCACCATGACAGGGCCAAGTAAAATGGTTTTACATACATCGATATGCTTACAATGATTATGAAATAGTCATGTCATGGCTGTTTAAACAGAACAAGCTCAAGGAAATCGTTTACCAACCTTTGACTTTGTTGCATCAGTGACATCTTCTGACTGTTTTATACTATGAAAGATAGAGATGATGGTGGGAACGCACTCCTGTTCCTTGTCAGTGTCTTCAGCCTTCCCGTCTTCCTCTTTATGCAGTAACATAGAAATGATCAAGTATAATTGGCTGAAATAAAAGATTGGAAATAGTAAGTACAAATATCAATGTAAAAAAAAACTGAAACCGCTAATTTCACAGTAAAAGAAACAGAAAAGTTACCGATAGATCATTTCATATTCCTTCACATCTTTGCACTTTTCGACGTCAGGACAAGAATGATGCGCAAGTGCGTGAACCAGGTAAGGAAGGATATTATAAGGGTAGAGAGAAACCGAATTCGCATCAGTTTGAGTAGAGACTTTCCGCCCTTTTGTTTGGTAAGAATGTTGAATAATATCACCTAAGTTCTGTTTCTCCTGTAATGCCAATCCCGACGAATACTTTAGCTTAGATTACATTCTCAAGTCAGAAACATCGTATGTGTTTTCAAGTAAAGGGAGATGACATACCTCCTCTGACACCAGAACATTTGATCCAGTGATATCAAATAAGAACGAACAGACATACTTTGTGTCCAAAACCCGATCCTTTATATACTGGTGAACTTTCCCAAGGAATATTTTCTTAGCCATAGGAAATGAAATCTACAGGAGGGGGTAAGCAGAAGTGTTAAAAACAGAAGCAAGATCAGACGTAGGAAAACTAAACTGAAGGAACGTACCTCAGAGGTTTTTAGTGTTAAATGGAAGATATCAATCGGTATCTTATCGTCCCAGTGCCTAGAAAGGCGGATAACTGCCTTTGCAGCAGCTAGTTTCAGATGTGCTTTGTCAACAGAACTGTTGAAATGTTTGAGCATGAATACGTTCAGTGTTTGAACAGAGAAATAACATCTTAGCATGTTTGGCACTAATGTTTACCAACCTTGAATCTATCTCTTCAGATACTTCCCCAAAGGAAAGAATGTTTTTCAGTAATCCAAGAAGGTCATCAACACCCGTGCGAAGATGAGCATCCTTGAACGGCAAGTAGCTCTTAACCAATGTCTTGATCCCATATATCTATTACGAAACGAGAATTTTTAAATTAACAGGACAAGAGAAAAATTACTTTATCAACTAAAAATCAGTTACAAGAAAACTTTTTGTCAGATACCAACCTTCAGTTGACAAATTTCACTTTTGTCATCCCAGGATAACTTTTCGTCATCTACTGCTTCCTGCAAAGAGGTTTAAGTTTCTTCCAATAAAAATGAAAAGAAAATGGGAAACAAATAAAAAGGCAGATAGTGATTTTTTGCAGAAAACAAAACATTAGTAATACATACACTTTCGCTTTTGAGGATTTTGCTTCTAATAAACTCAACGATTTCTCTTTCTCTAGTCTCAAAGACAGGCATTGCAATCTGCGCTATGCATCCAAGGCTCTGTAAAACAGCTGGCTGATGCCTCCTGTCGTCCAGCATGTCCACGAGTCCCTACAAATCGAGTATTAAATCAAATTTTTACATGTTAACTGTATCAACAGTACTTAGTATTATTTTTAAGTACCTTGTATAGAAAAGATAGCGCCTTCAAGCCATCATCCTTTTTTATTGATGCTAGTGCTTGCACAGCATACTTAGCCTGCTTACGGCTACCTTCTACACAGATCCTCTCCAGTAACAGGTCCACAGAACTTTAAATGGAAGGAATACAAATCAGAAAAAGTAGGAAACTAACAAATGACGTGAACTCATGTTTGGTAATGTTCATATATCGACGGAGTTGAGTCTTTTACCTCGCTAAAACAATGAGATTCTCCCGAATAGTACCACCTGCCTTTGCCAGAATTTTAAGACTACCTTCCTTTATAATTTCAACTTCATCTTTAAGGAAACCTATCAGTTCTTCTTCAGCCCCGTCAAACAGTGATGGACAGAAACTTGCGAGAAGCTACAAAATTAATGCACAAGTATCAATGTAATTAGTTTTGTAGTAAAGAAAGCAAGAACATGAGCACGAGACAGTAAAAATAACTGACAGAAAGCTAGAGGATTAAACGATGTCAGGTAAGTGATTACCCCTAAGAAGTCCATGCAGGATTGAAGGCCCAAATTATCTTTAGAAGCCTTTCTAGCAGAGACTTCTGATAACATCTCTTTCACATATTCCTTGCTGAATAGGAGATGAGAACATTTTACGGAGAGAGTGCCGAGAAATTCATAGAGACTATTCTTTTCAGAAAGTATTTTAAGCATATCATCCTGCACACAATTTAAAACCGTAAACTATATAAAGGTCATGGAAAGTAAACTTAAATGTAGTACAAACTTCTTGTCATTCTCACCCGAATCTTGGACGCTTGCATTATGCTAGTGTTGGGATCGAGCAAATTATTCAAAATCTTCCAGATATTAGCATCTTTCAGTTGATCAAGAATCAAAAAGTTTTGCTCAGCCTTTGGGGGATCAGAAAATGCACGTGACATAACTCTGAATCCAAATTGAATCTTTTTCTGCATATCCGGAGCATCAGAATCCTGCGTTAGAAAGAACATAGGGTTACAGCTGGTGAACATTAAAAGAAACAAAAAAAGTCCAACTTGAAATCAAGAAAAAAAGCTCTTCAATCATATTTACAGACCTGTTGCGTCTGCTTGAATGCCAAGTAGTTTTGCATCTCTTGTTGTATCCTAAAGATCAAGAAGAAACATTTCCAAGGTCAATCTCCAATACCAAAAAGATATGATAAAGATCATGCAAAAGTATTAAGTGCCAAGTAAAATCATAAATACACCTTTGCCTCTGCTCCAGTATCTTCTCTAAAGCTTTTGTCTCCACGTTGTCAAATCCAGAAAATATGTCTATCCAATGCTTAGCTTTATCTCTAACAGAGATATCACTTGGAAACAAGGAACTACAGAGAGTATATTCAATTGTATCTGATCTGCAACACAATTAGCATATTTAGAATATGTTTGCCAAAGCTGATGCTCAAATCAACCTAGAAAGAAGTGAACACCGTAAAAATATTTCTGAAAGAAGTGTCATACCTGAAATCTTTGTCATAAAGACATCTCAAAATTTTTCCAGGAATCCAATCAAAGTCGCCAGCGCCTACCTTCCCTTCAGCAGACCGTAAGCAATATACCCGGTATAGTTCAGTCAACCTTTCCATTGTGTATGTCTTTACCAGTATCTGATAAAGTAAAAAGAAATGTAAGTTACAAGGTCTTTGCTTATTAGCATGCGACTATCTGAGGCATCAAGACAAGATACATAAAACGTACAGCTTTGTCTCGGAGCCGTTCAGCAACTAACTTTATAGTGTCAACTGGAATAGACGCCAGTGAACTCACAGCCACATCACCAATAACAGCAACAACTTGTTTGCGCATATTCTCATCATAGTCCAAGAGCCGGTCACAAAGAGCAGCTACAAGAGGATTGACACTCTCAGGTTAGTGAGTTATAATGCTAATGGCATGATAAGTAAAGACTTACATATAATTTGGGAAGCCTCGGCTCTCGAAGGATCTGCGAGCAAACAGTTCTTAATATGGTCAAGGATTACCATTCTAACTTCAACTACTCTATCAGTCAGCCTTTTCAGAAACTCCAAAAAGATTGAACTGAACTCTTCGGAGATGGCACGTCCAGGCAAGGAAAACAACTCTCCAACCAATCCGACCACTTTCAAACGAGTTTCCAGTTCATCAGCCTGTACATATTATTAGTACGCGTCATGTATTACTCAATACCAATCTATTTGAAAAATGAGTTGAAACAACAAGAGGATAAAGGTGACTATATAAACAAATACATAGTTCAAGGGTCATGGTGGTGTTTGGCATTCATAATAGAGCAAAAGACCAAAACATACCAAAAGCTCTCCAGTGAGATAAGGTGCAACTCCGGATAGGGTCTGAGGAGCACAGCGGTACAAATCATAGATAACCTCATGGTGGTCAATTTGACTGCTGGAAAACCGGTTATCTCCGGACAATGAAGAGATAAGGAATTGCTTTATGTCAGATTCAACTTTTGGCGCACACTCCTCTATGACTTTCATAGCAAGTCTTCTAGCCGCGTCACTAACGTCCTGCCATCATAAATACAGAAAATGAGCGGTTTGCTATTCAATACAGCAACAAATCCTTTATTAGAAAAATATCAGCTAGGGACATCAGAAATGCTCACACTTTTATTTCTGCCTAATTTAGAGAGTAAAATTAGTAAAAGCTGCTCCTGCACATCTTCACTCTCTTCTAAGAGAACAACCATTATATTTTGCATTGATGAGACAACAACCTCTGGATGGTCATCTCTGCATATACAGAAATTAAACAATCTGTCAGAGAACGAACACAAAACGCATTCAAAACTTGTATTACTACCCAATAGACTTGATGTAGATCAGAGAAATTCTTAACAATCTGAAAAGGAGGTTACGATGAAAGTGAAACCCACCTAGCAACATCAAGAAATGTAGTAAAGACTTCTTTCACCAGATCATCGCACTCCAGATCTAACATCACTACACATGACCTGTACTTTGCAACCGTTTCTAAAATGACAACCCTCCTTCCAAATGATGGTCCACCGACATCATCCAACCCAGAGAAGGCACTCACGATCAGTTGAAAAATATCCTGAAACAAGATCAAGAAACGGAACAAATCAGCAGTGGATATGTCAGTGATCCCGGTTCCAGAGGAGATTCAGGACAACAAACCCTCATAATGTCATCATGGTAAGGCGCTTCAGGTGCGGTGACACGAGTTATCTCAGAAAAACAACTCGCAACTAGAAGCTTCACATCCTTGTCTTGATGCTTGAGAATTTCGGGTTTAATAACTGCGTCAAGAAAAGGCTGGATGGACTTGAGCACAGATGCTGGTGGAGCCTGCTTCAATTCAGAAAGACAAACAGCAGCTTCCTGAATGTAGCAACACACCAAGTTAACGAGACTAAGAGTTTTATATGATAAAGGCGCAAATGAGCACTACCATTTAGTAACATGTAAAAATAGAACTATTTGTCAAGGGCTATCTTATATAAATAACCCCAACAAGTCACTCCAATAATACCAATCAAAACCAAATCCTTCCACACAGTGATTGAGAAATAAACATCTTAGCAATATAGAAGGCCTAACATATTGAAAAAGGTACCTCTTGCAAATATCGAAAATTAAGTGAAGATAGTGCAATTCATTTTTGGAATAGCGAGAACTCAATGTAACCAGGCATGGAAAATCCTTAACATTCTAACATCAACCCATCATTCAAAAGGATAAGCTCTTGAACATAAGCAAATTATACTTATTGAATTGGTACCCCCAAGAAAACAACTGCAAACCTAGTAAGCAGAAAGCCTACAATTCAATTTTAAGAAAAATTCTAAGTGGCTAGACATATCCATCTTCCATTCAGAGTAAGACCCTAGTTTTGATGTTTGACCTAATTTTACAAAACCAATCTATGTGAAGGGCTAAGCCAAAACAGATTTGTTACAAACAAACCCTAATGCAACTCGGAAGAATAAACACTATCTCTGTTACCAAACATAACCCAGAAAGGAGAACCTACAAGTCTGAAACTATTCTCTGTCGACCTAATTCGTAGAATTTAAAGCTAAAAACTTCCCTCCAAAGTAAAAATCCAAAATTGGTGAAAACGAAGTCACTAGAGGCTAAAGTTTCTGAAGAATTAGAGAGGAGAAATTGACCTTGAAGAGTTTGAGCAAAGAATCTTTGGAGGAAGGAGGTGGGTCAAGCTTCGATCCGAACTCCTTCAACTGTTCCTCTGGCTTCTTCTGAGCCATCACTGAGTGAAACAAAGAACTCTTAACCGGCGGATGTGCGAGCCAGAGAGCACCGTGGAAAAGGGGTTTCTTTAATTTTGTTGTTGTTGGGTTTTTTTGGGTGTTCAGACAGTCACTCTTTCGAACACATCCGATCTGAGCGGTCTCTCCAAACAACAGGCCGATTTGCTGACTTACGGGTTTGTGTCTCTCATCTCTTCCTTGTTTTATTATTTATTAAGCCCTCCACTTTCTCTTTTTTTTACTCTTTTTGCCCAATCTAAAGCCTTTCATTAATGGGCCTAAAAAGGCCTAATAAAAAAGGCATTTCCAAGAATCGACGTGGGGTTTCCTTTTCTTTCTCCCTTAATCTCATGCGTCTCGATAACCAGCTTAAACCGGCTCCGGTTCACATCTCGCATCCGGAGGAAAAGAAGAAAACTCTGTTTAAGAATGCACAAAAAAAGCAACTGAAGCCGCAAAGATACGAAACGAAAAAGGAGCTTAGAAGAAGAAACGTGAGAGAAAGAATACAGAGTGTGAAGAAATACTAGCGAATGCGACGGAGGAAGAGAGGCTGAAGCTTTGGTATAGTCGAGGAAGAATCTGCGGAAAGAGAGAATGGAGAAGAAGATAGAACGTCTCACGCTAGCCAAAGAAGTCAGTCAAAACGTCGTCGTACTTGTTGATTTTGCCCACCTCAGAATGGATCTTTTATCTTTCAGCAAATTGTATGCAAAGCTTCAAGCCTTACTCTTGTCATGCATGGGTCATTGAGTTTGTTGCTTTAATGATCAGACTATTTATTGCTATGGGGTGAATGGGAGAAGCACTTCACCTTGTCATCTATGGGAGACAGGAATCCTAGGGGAGATGAGTACTCATCTTGAGAAGCTTTCAGGTTTTGACATATGGTTCATAGAGTAGAAGGAAAGTCATTGATGCCATCGCTGATTGGAAAGAGGATTGGGTGTATCCTGCACTGTTTTGGATGACCTTGACCCCAAGAGTATCTACAAAATTGGTGGCTTGGTAGATCGAAACAGGTTCAAAGAAATCACCATGAACAAGGTCACAAGAACAAGGCATTTAAACAGCTTAACTTCCTATAGGAAAGTTTATGAAAATGTCAAGTTCTCTGGTATGCACTCAACTTCCATAAAGAACTAATTCGTATTCTTCAGCCACACTTCAAGTGTCTCATTGGGCACAGAAAAGGACTCTCTTTTCCAACACATTGAACTCCAATGCACGTGCTGTTTTGTTGCCTATACTTTCTTAAGCAATATCCAGTTGTGAGATTTGGTTATTATTGATTTAGGTTATCACTGTGAACAAGTTGTGGAGACACTCCACACGTTTCTGGAGACGAGGTTCTGGAAAACATCCTTCTTCACTGTGATTTCATAGAGGAAACGAACTGGAGTTGATCATGTAGACTGCTCAGAATCTGAACCTCTTTCAAGAGAAAGATGGTGATGCCGAGAGGAGTGCAGAGAAACATGATCTACTGGAGATGAAAGAGGTATGCGTGAAGTTCCTCTGCAAAGTGGTAGAGCTAGATGAAGATTATGCATATGAGATTTGTTTCTATTTTTACTGAATATTAATTTATGGAGCTGAGAAATTAACTTTGGAATGTTATCATCAAGCCCTCCAAACATTGGAGAGAGAAGTTCCTTCTCACACATAACAAGGCTCAGTTTTGCAGCTGGCCATGACTCTCCCAACCTGAATAACGAACCAACAAATGTTCAAAGCAGCAGCAGTGAAGTCACAAACGCAGCCACAGGTAACGCCTCTGTTTCCAAATTCTTTTAGGATTCACTGATGACCTCTTAAAACATGTTTTGCAGGTGCAAAAAACACAAACATAACATCATCGCTAGTGTAACATCAAGAACACCAACCGCACCTGTAACAATCAAAGAGCCAGGAAAGAGAGGGAAGAAACAGAGCAGGGTGCTTCTGTCTACAACCAGTGTACGTCGCTACTGAAGGATTTGTATGTATAAGATTTGTTTCTAAGAAAAAAAAATGAATAAAGAAAAAGACCAATATGGTGTGCAAGTACAACTCAAAACTTTGGTTTTTTTTTTTTTGAATCCATGTAACTGATAATGAAGGTGTAGCCTATTCTGCACCATTTATGACAAAGTAAAAGACTCAGTTATGATTCTGCTGACTCAGAGAATACATCGTAATTTCATAAATACACCATCCAAAAAGATTGGATGAAATATCTTCCAAGAGAGAAGGATGAGCTTCCGGTGATTTTCATTTTCCCAAGTTACGTACAATAAAGTCTGACTTTATCCTTTTGAAAAATATCTCTCCTGCTATGCTCTGCTCTGGTTCTTTATATATATCATACCATGAACTATTTTAAAACATAACATAATATCCAACTCACTAATCCAATTGCAAACTAATAAATTAGAAGTGAGATGCATATAAGGAGGAGAGTTTTGAGAACCTGACTATCAAAAATATGTATGTTAGAAGCATGATTTTTTGTGATGTTATATGTGCTTGTATCTCTATAACCACTCGTTAATATATGAAAACTAGCTTCACTTAATCAAGACTGAAGTTGTGAATCAGACCCAAATTCCCAAAGTTGCTAAAACAGTAATGATTTAAAATACATGGTATATTAATCAACACAATAATGAGGAAAATCTCAGACTAGTTTAAATAACTTAGAGCATGCATGTAAATCTTGCACAATCCATATCAGACTAGTAAATTACATCTGCTACACCCATTTTATTTAACATTCTGACACTTGTATAAATTATGGATGAGTTGTAAACTCAATCTTTTCAATTTTTACAACCAAACATGAAATGATGTTTTCACTCCTATATTGTGAAATTGTGTTTTGTTACCAAACTTGAAATAATATTTTATTACATTTTTTTAGTTTTACATGTTAGAGTTTTACAATTATAATTGATTTTAGAATATAGTTTGAAATTAAAAGGAACTTTTTAAAGAAACTAAAAAGTACATTGATGATATTTCTATTGTAAAAATAAGTTTGATGATTGTTTTTGCTTCAAAATAATTTATATGCTCTAGCACTATGAAACCAATTTAGTTCTTTAAAAATAATAAGTTTAAATCAGAAACTTGAATTAACTTGGTACATTTTCCTCCCATTTTTTTGTCAACAATAGAAATATCCACTTTTTGTAAAATTTCGTTACAAATAAGTTTGCATCCAAACACAGTTTGAAAATGCCTAAACTAGTCTAAGAAACAAATGATATTTAAGAGTATTAGCTAAAGTGTTATTTTGATGTTGAATTAGACTGCAACTTCAAAAAGAAACAGGGTATCAATTGTTCGTCTCTTGATCATTTCAACCGTTGGGATTTTTTTTTCAGAAAAAAAAAATCTATTTTTATTGAAACTTCTCCTTTTATCTAAAATGATCTATACCATATATATAGAAGCATTTATTAAAGAATAGTACCACTTTTTTTATAACATACATATTTTACTAGGTAAAGGCTATTCTATTAACAAACTTAAACATTTTCTTATTGGAATCGTCTTGCGCATATAATTTTCATAATATATTTTATTTAGGTTATATTCGTTTTGGCTGACAAAAAAAAAATATTTGTTTTGTCTAAAACTAACTACTTGCAAATATTATTTTAAAAATAAAAAATATTATTCGTAGTATATAAATATTGTTTTACCTGTATATATATATATATATATATTATTTTTTTTCATTGAACTTCAACTTTGATTCCAAATATATGATGTATTAAAACTGAAATATAATACCAAACAAAATTTAATAAAGGATATATAGGATTGTAAGATTTTTTGTTACTGAAAACTATAAAAAATTTAGTAAATTATCTAACAACATATTTGGTTTCGATTTTTTCATAAAACACACGGAAAATAAAAATAGCGGTGGAGTACTCTAAATCCACGTGCTTACGTGTCCAATCTTTATGTGTGTACAGTAGAGGTATACATGTAATGAGACACAAAAAACGTTCCTAGCAAGTCACAACAACGTCTACTTTTTTATTTATTTTGCTTTAATATTTTTTTTTGTATTTTCTTTCCTATATAATACGTAGTGAACAATCACAATCGGTACTGATCCTCATTCGTCTATATTCTTGTTGACTCCTCCTCCTCAAGGTTGTTGGTTACAGTCCCAAACCCTAATAAGTTTCTTGAGATCGCAAAAGAGAATAATGAAGAGGATGACACAGAAGCTGAAGAGGGGCAAATTGTCAGTGAAGAAAGATGCTCCTTTCAAGAAACCTTCGTCTTCTTTGTACAAGGCACGAGCCGCTACGGTTCTCAAGAAGGCGTTCGAGCTCTCGGAGTTATGCGATGTCGATGTGTGTATCATATGGTACGACCGTGAAGGAAACCTAGTTAAAACTTGGCCTGAGAACGAAGAAAACAAAGTTAGAGCCATGGCGGAGAGATACAACATGTTAAGCGAACAAGAAAGAAACAAGAAAAGCACCAATCTCTTAGGGTTTCTAAACAAGAAGATGATCCACGACAAGAAAGAGTCTCTTAAAGCGAACGATGGCAAATTCTTGGAGACGGCGTTAGGGCTTGAGGATTCTTTGCAGACTCGTTTACGGGAAATCAAAGATTGTCTTCAAAGATTTGATCTTGATCAACCCCTGCAGGATCTACATTCTGATCCATCGCTAATTAATGTGGATCATCATCATCATGATCAACCGTCATCATCACCATTGAATTATCCGGAGAGTAGTTTTGTTGATGTATCCACCAGTACCACAACCACGTCGTTGAGCAAATTCTCATTCTTGTATAACCATGAGAATGGTATGTTCACTCAGTTACCCAACTCCTCATCTGCTCTGATTCCTAGCTTTCAGAATCAAGATTATGGTACTAGTAATTACATGGATTTATTGCTTGGGGAACAAGACTGCAACAACTGGGATCTTTTTCCTCCTCTGATGCAAACACAAACCCTAAATTTCGAGCAGATTATGCAGACACAACCATCTTTTGGAATGATGCTCTCTTAATTAGGTCTTTAATTCTTGCAGAACTGATAGTTTGACTTTGGTCAAAGACTTTTTTTGTCATCTTTTAGGTTTGCTATTAGATTGTCAATTAATTGACAAGGAGATGGTCTAATTTCGTGCATGTGTGTGTCCTCTATATGCTAAAGTTGTCCAGTTTTGTAATTGTCGTAAACCCTAAATGTTAAATACTATATGAGAGTTGTTGTTCCTAAACAATCTTATTATTGGTTCCATTTATGAATTGACCTAGTTACTAATGTTTTACTACTGTAACCGTTACAGTTACAGATTCCCTTGTTCTGAGATAAAAGATTTTGGTTGGCTTAGATGATCGATATAATGTCTGATCCTCATAAGTTATATATCATTTTGTTTTCTTGTAGCTTGATTCATGGTTCCATGTACCTGTAGTAGTTTGTTGTGTTTCAAACACACATATTGAATCGTTAGGGGTTCAAAAGATTATACTTTCACTCTGATAACAACAACTACATTTCAGGTACATTTCCCCTTTTGGTTTCTCCTTAGTTATATATATATCTTGCCTCTACAAGTGTTGTAGTGCACATTGTTAGATGTTTTTTTGACTTCAGGAGGAGTAGTGTTCGGTTCAGACGGTTTTAATTTCTCAGATCTAATTCAGTGTGAAAAAAGGTTTAAAGGTCCTGTTAATAAGCTTACAAAGAGCTACAGAGATTCAGGTTTACGGTTTTGTGCAGTAAGAAAAAGAGGTTCAAAGCTCAACATGGTATATGATCAGATGGAGTTAAGAGGTTCAGCATGTGGTTATCAGTTGAGTATTATACTTTTATATATATTTTTTATTTAACTAAATATAATTAATAAATGATATTAACATCTATATATATATATATATATATTATACTTTTAATTTGGCTATCTAATAAATGAAGATTCACACTCACATGATTTTAGGATCATTTGTATATTTTAATAACAAAAGTTTTAAATCATTGAGAACATTATTTTTAATGTGAGATATAATATTTCCAGTAATTTGTCATCGTTTAAAAAAATTAAATTCAAAGTTTGGAATTAAATATTTATGTATTTTTAGATGGTATATAGTTTACTTTAAACATCACTATATATATATACATCTAATTTGAATATCTTATAAATTATACTTCTTACTCATTAATTATATCATTGAATAACCAATCTATATTATTTCTCTATACATTAAGAACTATTTGTTCTCTGTTAACTTAGATCATCATCATAAAATAGAGGGACTTACCATGTTGTTTAGTGTATTGACTTAGGCCATCATAAACTATGGGGGTTGTATAATTTTACACCACCTTTGTCTAATAACATATCCGACAATGTTACAAGATTTTCAATACAAACATGTAATATATATACATAAAGCCTGATTTACAATATATTGACAGTATTAGATCGTCAGTTACTAAATGCCACTGCATTTCAATTATAAATAAATATTGTGAACATTATTGATATTACTAAGCAAATATTCCTTATTATCGTCAGTTACTAAATGTTTAACAATACTAATCTAGTGTTGATATTTTTTAGGTTACTTCAATTATGAATAATTATTCAACTTATACAGTAAACAAATTCCTTTATGAATAATGATCCGACCTTATCTAAGTTCATTTAGTTAAATACATACTATAAACATCTTATATTATACGTAAGCTCTATCACATCTATATATACTATACAATAATTATACTCCAAGTTTATTTTCTATAAATATATCTATTGAAAGCATATTCTGATCACCAAAACGCCATGTAATATAAATAAAAATATCCAAAACCCTAAATTACATGAATCATCTTATTTTTCTAAATTCGAAAAGTGAAACTGAACCAAAAACTAAACTTTATTTAGAATATTTAAAACATAAAAATATCAATTTAAATATATAAACAAAAAAATCAGAACCTCCAAATTACATGAATTACTTCAATTTGGGAGTGAATGATTGAACTTTATCTCCTCACTTTAGGTTTATTTATTTTTAAATCACTAAACTTTACCAATCATGTTGTAGCTTTATTTTTAAAAATTAAAATTTACATCAATTTTCTATAAGTTTTTACCAATCATGATTTAGCTTTATATTTAAAGTTACAGCAGAGAAAAAAAGGAAAGAAAATTTTTTTTTTTTAGGTAAGAAAACTAAATCTTTCTTTTATAAATTTTAGAATCTATAAAACAAAATAAAATAAAATAAAATAAAAAATATTTATAATGTTAAATAATTAGATAATCATAGTTAAAAACATCTCTCAAACATCATTTTTTAAGTTTTTTTGACAAAATATCCCTCTAAAAATAAAATGACCAAACTAGTTTTTTATTCAAATTTTGTAACATTTATTTTTTATTTTAAAAAAATTTGAAACTCTATCCCTAAAACTCCGTCCAGCTAAACTCTTACATCCAAATTTTTAAAGCCACAATCAAACCAATCATCACCTATTTTGAGATGTTAGCTTTAAACCATTAAATCTAACTATTTTTGTTTGAACAATGTGGTTTTTAAAAGGGTCCCAATACCCAAAGTTCTATAATTTTAAACTAAATAAATTGAACCAACACAAACCTAAAGCATGAGAGTCTATCACTATGAGACATAAAAATAAATTATTCTCAAAGTCAAAACTTAAGTATTAAAACTCAGACAAAAGAAATTAGTAATTTTTAAATTGAAAAACAAAAATAACCAAAATTTATTCCGCGTTTTAAAAGCAAATGTCAAAATCTAGTCAGTATTATTAAAACTGAAGTACAAATTAAAAAGAAAAAAAACCTGAAACTTACCACTTATTTACAAAGGAGTGTCACTGAAATAATTTTTTTTTTATGAAATTTAAAATTTATTGATCTATCAAAAGAATGTTATTTACATGTGTAGACTATACTTAAAGCAGTAGCAAATAATGATCAGATTATCTATCCCTTAGGAACTAAGCTGGAACCATCTTTACAATAAACCTCTATACTTATGATCATGCTTGTACTTGAAAGAAGTAATTATGTTTCTCATCGCATTGTCAATGAGCCATCGCATGTGGTCAATAGGCACTCCACCCTGCTAATGGCGCCTTGCATTTCGCTCCCTCCATAGATGATAGATTGTTGCCTGCAGCAAAAGCTTAGCCAAGACAGTGTTCATTTCTAACGACCTCATTATCTGCAAGTGTTGCACTGCCCAGTGTCAGTCATGGTTTGTGCTGAGCCACTGAAATAATTAATAAACATACCTTTAATATTCTTTGTCATTTCTTATTTATTAATGTATTTTTATAATTTGATTATTAGCTAAAAAACTGCAACAATAATTTAAGAAAATCAATTTCCTAAAACAATTAAACAGGATTTGACTACGGTAATTCAATTAAAATAGTTTTATATATCATTAATCCTATACAAAATCTAACTTCCCTTACTTTGAATTTTCTAAAACAATGATAATTTGCTATCTTATAAATGTACTGACACCACCATTTTTTTTTGTTTCTAAAACCATTGTTTTTTAATTGGGAAAAAAATAACTTTATATATGATATTTTATGATATATTTAAAATCTACACCTTCTCTAAATCTAACCTTATGTTTAAGAACATATTTAAACTAAATATTTTTTTTTCAAGTTATGCATTTATATTTCACTATCATCTAATTTTGAAAATGATCAGCGGTCTTCAATTAATAATTATTTAATAAAAGGTCATAAATCCACCACTTAAGTCAATTTAGATATCCATATACTAAATTTAGAATACAATATCATCTTAAAACTTATATATATATATTTATTTTTGTCACATAAGAAACATTTATATAATATTATTTTATGTATATATTCATATAAGTAAAAAATCAGATGTGAATTCAGTAATATAATTGTTTAAAAGCATAAGAATATATAGTACCCTATTTTAATTAGTATATAAAGGAATTGTACTATACGTTATCATAACAAATATTAAAAATATAAATATATTTTCACGAATGCACGAGTAATATTTTAAAATTGTGGATGATAAAATTGACGGTTTACAAGATAAAATAAATTTACTTAATATAAACTATAAAAAAAATATTATGTTTATAAATTTCATAATAAACATTATTTAAATTGGATAAATTTTAAAAATCTATATTATCATTTAGAAAATTAATACTTAATTATTTATCTAAAAATAAAAATATATATCTGCTTGAGCGAGTGGGTCAAGTTCTAGTATTTTCATTAAACTTCAATTTTGACTCCAAATATGATGTATTAAACTGAAATATAAAACCCAAAAAAATAGTAAATTATATATAGGATTTTAAGATTTTGCTTTTCTGCAATAAATTTAGTAAATTATCTAACAACATATTTGGTTTCGATTTTTTTTTAAAGATGCAGAAAATAATATAGCGGTGGAGTACTCTGAATCTGCGTGCTTAATTACGTGTCAAATCTTTATGTGTGTACAGTAGAGATACAAAAAACGTTCCTAGCAAGTCACAACACAACGTCTACTTTTATTTGTTTATTTTGCTTTAATTTTCTTTCTTTTTTTGTATTTTCTTTCCTATATAATACGTAGTGAACAATCACAATCACTACTAATCCTCATTCGTCTATATTCTTGTTGGCTCCTCCTCAGGTGTTACTAACAGTCTCAAACCCTAATTAGTTTCTTGAGATTGCAAGAGAGAGAATGAAGAGGGGAAAAGTATCGGTGAGAAAAGATGCTCCTTTCAAGAAACCTTCGTCTTCTTTGTATAAGGCACGAGCCGCTACAGTTCTCAAGAAGGCGTTCGAGCTCTCGGAGCTATGCGATGTCGATGTGTGTATCATCTGGTACGACCGTGAAGGAAACCTGTCCATACTTGTACAACCAGTGTACGTCACTACTGAAGAATTTGTATGTATAAGCTTTGCTTTAAGAAAAGAAAATGAATAAAGAAAAAGACCAGTGTGGTGAGCAAGTACAACTCAAAACTTTGGTTTTTTTTATTTTTTGAATCCATGTAACTGATAATGAATGTGTAGCATAGTCTGCACTATTTATGACAAAGTATAAGACTCAATTATGATTCTGTTGACTCAGAGAATACATCGTAAGTTCATAAATGCACCATCCAAAAAGATTGGATGAAATATCTTCCAAGAGGGAAGGATAAGCTTCCGGTGATTTTCATTTTCCCAAGTTACATACAACAAAGTCTGACTTTATCCTTTTGAAAAATATATTTCCTGCTCTGCTCTGCTCTGGTTCTTTATATATATCATATCATGAACTATTTAAAAACATAACATAATATCCAACTCACTAAACCAATCGCAGACTAATAAATTACAAGTATGATGCATATTAGGAGGAGAGTTCTACGAACCTGACTATCAAAAATATGTATGTTAGAAGCATGATTTTTTTTGTGATGTTATATGTGCTTGTGTCTCTATAACCACTCGTTAATATATGAAAACTAGCTTCACTTAATCAAGATTGAAGTTGTGAATCAGACCCAAGTTCCCAAAGTTACTAAAACAGTAATGATTTAGAATACATGGTATATTAATCAACACAATAATGAGGAAAATCTCAGACTAGTTTAAATAACTTAGAGCATGCATGTACATCTTGCACAATCCATATCAGCTAGTAAATTACATCTGCTACACCCATTTTATTTAACATTCTGACACTTATATAAATTATGGATGAGTTGTAAACTCAATCTTTTCAATTTTTACAACCAAACATGAATGATGTTTTCACTCCTATATTGTGAAATTGTGTTTTGTTACCAAACTTGAAATAATATTTTATTACCTTTTTTTTAGTTTTACATGTTAGAGTTTTACAATTGTAGTTGATTCTAGAATATAGTTTGAAATTAAAAGGAACTTTTTAAAGAAACTAAAAAGTACATTGATGATATTTCTATTGTAAAAATAAGTTTGATTATTGTTTTTGCTTCAAAATAATTTATATGCTCTAGCACTATGAAACCAATTTAACTATTTAAAAATAATAAGTCTAAATCAGAAATTTGAAGTAACTTGGTACTCCCTCCGTTCCTAAATGATCCATATTTTAGAAAAATATTTTGTTTCTAAAAGATTCATATTTTACATTTTCAATGTATGTAATAATGGTAAATTGTAAACTTCAAAAACATTAATTATGTTTACTGAATTTTGATTGGTTAAAAATCATAGGAAATAGCTAAACACATAAAATAATGCATTTATTATCAAAATTTNTTTACATTTTCAATGTATGTAATAATGGTAAATTGTAAACTTCAAAAACATTAATTATGTTTACTGAATTTTGATTGGTTAAAAATCATAGGAAATAGCTAAACACATAAAATAATGCATTTATTATCAAAATTTTAAGTGTTTTCTTAATAAGTGTGAAAATTCTAAAACATGGATTATTTAGGAACAGAGGGAGTACATTTTACTCCCAGTTTTTTGTCAACAATAGGAATATCCACTTTTTGTAAAATTTCGTAACAAATAAGTTTGCATCCAAACACAGTTTGAAAATGCCTAAACCAGTCTAAGAAACAAATGATATTTAAGAGTATTATCTAAAGTGTTATTTTGATGTGACTGCAACTTCAAAAAGAAACAGGGTATCAATTGTTCGTCTCTTGATCATTTTAACCGTTGTGATTTTTTTTTTCAGAAAAAATCTACTTTTATGGAAACTTCTTCTTTTATCTATATATAGAAGCATTTATGAAAGAATAGTACCACTTTTATATACCAAAAAATATTTTACTAGGTAAAGACTATTCTATTAACAAACTTAAGAATTTATCTTATTGGAATCGTCTTGCATATATAATTTTCATAATATATTTTATTTTATTTAGGTTATGTTCGTTTTGACTAACAAAAAATGTTCGTTTTGTTTAAAACTAGCTACTTGCAAATATTATTTTAAAAATAAATAAAATATTATTGATTACCATAGTATATAAAATATTGTTTTACCTGTATATATATTTTTTCATTGAACTTCAACTTTGATTCCAAATATATGATGTATTAAAACTGAAATATAATACCCAACTAAATTTGATAAAGGATATATAGGATTGTAAGATTTTTTGTTACTGAAAACTTTAAGAAATTTTGTAAATTATCTAACAACATATTTGGTTTCGATTTTTTCATAAAACACACGGAAAATAAAAATAGCGGTGGAGTACTCTAAATCCACGTGCTTACGTGTCCAATCTTTATGTGTGTACAGTAGAGGTATATATGTAATGAGACACAAAAAACGTTCCTAGCAAGTCACAACAACGTCTACTTTTTTATTTATTTTGCTTTAATATTTTTTTTCCTATATAATACGTAGTGAACAATCACAATCGGTACTGATCCTCATTCGTCTATATTCTTGTTGACTCCTCCTCCTCAAGGTTGTTGGTTACAGTCCCAAACCCTAATAAGTTTCTTGAGATCGCAAGAGAGAATAATGAAGAGGATGACACAGAAGCTGAAGAGGGGCAAATTGTTAGTGAAGAAAGATGCTCCTTTCAAGAAACCTTCGTCTTCTTTGTACAAGGCACGAGCCGCTACGGTTCTCAAGAAGGCGTTCGAGCTCTCGGAGTTATGCGATGTCGATGTGTGTATCATCTGGTACGACCGTGAAGGAAACCTAGTCAAAACTTGGCCTGAGAACGAAGAAAACAAAGTTAGAGCCATGGCGGAGAGATACAACATGTTAAGCGAACAAGAAAGAAACAAGAAAAGCACCAATCTCTTAGGGTTTCTAAACAAGAAGATGATCCACGACAAGAAAGAGTCTCTTAAAGCGAACGATGGAAAATTCTTGGAGACGGCGTTAGGGCTTAAGGATTCTTTGCAGACTCGTTTACGGGAAATCAAAGATTGTCTTCAAAGATTTGATCTTGATCAACCCCTGCGGGATCTACATTCTGATCCATCGCTAATTAATGTGGATCTTCATCATCATGATCAACCATCATCATCACCATTGATTCATCCGGAGAGTAGTTTTGTTGATGTATCCACCAGTACCACAACCACGTCGTCGAGCAAATTCTCAGTATTCTTGTATAACCATGAGAATGGTATGTTCACTCAATTACCCAACTCCCCCTCTGCTCTGATTCCTAGCTTTCAGAATCAAGATTATGGTACTAGTAATTACATGGATTTATTGCTTGGGGAACAAGACTGCAACAACTGGGATCTTCTTCCTCCTCTGATGCAAACACAAACCCCAAATTTCGAGCAGATTATGCAGACACAACCATCTTTTGGAATGATGCTCTCTTAATTAGGTCTTTAATTCTTGCAGAACTGATAGTTTGACTTTGGTCAAAGACTTTTTTTTGTCATCTTTTAGGTTTGGTATTAGATTGTCAATTAATTGACTAGGAGATGGTCTAATTTCGTGCATGTGTGTGTCCTCTATATGCTAAAGTTGTCCAATTTTGTAATTGTCGTAAACCCTAAATGTTAAATACTATATGAGAGGTGTTGTTCCTAAACATATTATTGGCTCTGTTTCTTTTTTCTATTTATGAATTGACCTAATTACTAAAATGTTTTACTACTGTAACCGTCACAGTTACTAAAATCTTTTATTCTGAAATAAAAGATTTTGGTTGGCTTAGATGATCGATATAATGTCTGTTCATCATAAGTTATATCATTTTTTTTTTCAAATATTTTGTATTTTTTTGTTATTCCAAATATTTGAGTTTATAATTACAATTTAAATATTTAGATATTTATAATTAATATTGTGATTCAATGTTTATATTTTGAATAGTTTTGGGTGGGTATACATAATTTTTTGGTTAGGCTCAGTTTATATTCAGATTGGATGATCCAGATATTTTATCAAGGTCTAGAACCCAAATACAAACCGAATCGCACTGAATTTTGAAAGAAAACCCAAACCAAACCAAACCCAAATTCAACACAGCTTTCGCCTACCCGGTTAAGAGTTCTCAAACCGGATCCAAATCTCTACCCGGTGCCTTAGACGGAGAGGACTTACTCTGGTTCCTAGATCTGAAACTAGTTGTACAGACAAGATAAGTGATGTGATCAGTCCCTTTATATGTTGAGTGAAGACGCAATACATGTACTAACTATCAATTCCTTCATTAAAGATCACACCACACTTATGCTGTGTGGAAGCCTAATGCTTATTGACAGTTTATCACAACAATGATCAAATGAAAACACCAGGTTCATTCAAGAAGAAGATACACAGAGACGAACGCATCATTGTTTTTGCATAAACTTAACAAAAACTAGAAATTGCGCCTACCAGCAATTATGACTCTTCCTCTGTCAGCTGTCAACGTTATTAGCCATTGTTCTCAGTGATTATGTTGCTTAGTCGGGAATAGTTCAACACTGTCCCAAATAGGTTCACTACCAGTGAAAACAAATCCATTCTGGTGAGGATAATGGTACGGCGCCATATGAATCCCTGGCACAGCCCCGTAAGCTCCATACTCGGCCATAGTACCATTAGGCCTCTTGACCACCAAGCCGTTGATCATACTAACCGATCCACCACTATAGCTAACCCCTCTGTCACCTTCCAACTCTCTGTAGCGGTGGAGATACAACGTGAGGAACGTAATCATCAAAACCAAGCTTTCTCATTGCCCACAAGACATCCTCGCCAGTGATGGTCTTGCGCTGTTTCCGCTGGTAACGCTCAGTGGCCTCCCCTGTTACGAAGCTGATGGTACTCTGACACACACTCTTGAATCGTCTCCTTGGAATAGGCTTGAATAGGTAAGATCCTACGCATGATTCTTATCACGTTGGCAATAGGCATGAACCTGTCTTGCTCTCTCACCGTGCACTCCTCTTCCCCGCCATTAGCCGTTTTGTTAGGCTGCTTGAATACTGTTAGCTGCATGCTGCCCCCTGCCATCAAAAACTTGGCTGGTAAAACAAACGAGTTTACAAACATTACAATGCAAAAAGAAGCAGAGAATGCAATGCAACTGAAAATGGCATTACTTGGTTCAAAAGGATTGGTGGTGTTTAGGGATAACTTGCCGTAGCCATGGAACCCTCCACGTTCCATATCCTTCTTCAAAGTCACGAGTCTAGGTTTGTGCATGAATAAAAAAATGTCAATGCTCGAAACTTAGAAGCATTTGAAGAAAAAGAGTACTTGGAATAATACTAAAATTTGGCCAAATGTTGGCATTTGTAATTGCAGATCTCACAGCTTCCACAACGTGTTCGGCCACACTCGATGCAACGTTTTTGTCTTTATTTTCAACATTCTAACCTCAAAACCTTCCAAAATACAAAGTCGTGGAAATCACTACACCAAAATTTTAAAAACTCGAGAAATCATCTACAAGCTTCCGTGCCAAAAAAAACTAATCTTAACGGTTCACTCGCACACTCATTGTTCCTTCTCTCCGGATTGGGCAACACTCATTGAGTTGGTCTTGTAAAAGTTTTCTAGTTTCTCAAAGTACGCGCGAGTCTTGGTGTGCTCAGGCCATTTCTTGCTACTTTCCATCACTCTCTTGTAATACTTGTTCATGTTCTCCCACTTCTCCTTACACTTCTTTGCAGATCTTTCATACCCTCTTCCCTTCATTCTTGCTGATACCTCATCCCATATCGCTCCTCCCATGTGAAGAAGAACCCCTGTCTTCTCTTCCACTTCGCTTCTGCTAGCTATCAACGCCTGCACTTCCTCATGAGGCCACCTTCTCCCGCTTGGAAACACAAACTTCACGTGTCCTTGTGTCTGCTCCTCCCATTCACATTGGTTGGGAAAAACAGTCTGGAGTGGCTGAGGGATATCGATCTCTTCACCAATCACGCTTTTGATGAAAGAGATGAGAGACGAGCTGCGTGACATCTCTTGCATCCGTGCCTCTTCGTTCTGTTTCATCCACTCTGTCTCCTGTTGCCTCCAAGCGTCCTCGCTTTGTATTCTCTCCCTCTCCAACTTCTCCATCACGTCAATCAGTTGGTTATGCATCTTCTCTTGCCGCTTCATCATAGTCCCCACCAGCTTCTCCATGAAATGCTCCAGCTTTTCCCTACTTTTCCGCTTTCTTTTACCAGTGACTGCCTTGCAAACGCCTTGGGAGGAGTCGCCATAGCTCTCAGAATCAACAGATGAACTGCAAAACCGAGAACATGTTAATCAAGTATCCGTTCTTGTAGTCCAACACAAATTCAGTATCTAGTAAAATTATAACCTCTCCCAATATAAGTATTAAACCAATCTTTGCTGCACATTTGAACACACTGTCTCCAAAATCAATTAACTTAACAACACTCAAAACCAAATAAACCATCACTGTAAAAGGTTGTAATGACCCTCACATCAATATGTTAGCTTATCTAAGAAAGTTTAAAGCTTTTACCTCAAATGTTCAACCAATCTATAAGTAAATAGAGCAACATAGAAGTAAAGTGTCTAGTCTTACCTAGGAAGCTTCTAATAGACGTGAAAAGTCATTACCTTTCACAGTAATAGATCCAAAACTAAAATGTGACCAAACCAACATGCACAAAGTTCGTATCTTTCTTTTTAAAAAATCTACTGGTTTATTACCTCAGAGAGACACCATCACACGAAGTGCCATGTCTGGAGACACGACCTTGAACCTCCGTTTCAAGCTTATCCTTTCCTAACACACGTGTCAACTGACCACTCCCCTCCACGTCAGCAAGCTTCGTTCCCACAGGAGGAGCATCGAAGCAGCCGTCTTCAAGAAACCCCATTTCCGGAAGCTTATCTAGACTTCCGGCGAGAATATCAAGAGGATGTCTATCCTCAAACGAAGGAGACTTATTAACAACACACCTGATGGGTTTCAGTTTCTGAGGAGGCGGCGCCAAGTCCGCGAGCGTAGCCAAAGCGTCGTCGTTGTCGTTTGCTTGAGGTCTACCGTACATCCAGTTAGAGCCGTCGAACGGGTTAACATCCTCGGTGAAGTCTTCGCCGACACGTTTCCGGTAGTTGCCGGCGAGGAGTTCCATAAGCAAACGTAAAAAAATGATAAAACGGGCGGCGTCAGATACGGCCAAGTAAAAGCAGTTTCAAAAAGGGTAAAAAAAAAAAGAAAGTATGGAGCGACTCTGTGACGGTGTAAATGACCCTTAAGCCCTCACTTGAGTCGTTTTCTTACCCGTTCCACGACCCGGCCCCAGACGAATATAATGTTTCGTGTAAAGGCAAAACACTTGTGGTCTGTGGCTCAGGGCAGCCCGTGAAGATACCGACACTTTTTTCGACGGATTTAAATCATATCACGTTACATTCACTTGCTAGAAAATCAAAAGACGTTAGATTATGATATAAAAGATTTGAGAAGATGATTGTGTCATTGATCTGAGTGAACTGACGAAAAACTCTTGTATACAATCTTTTCACCTTTTATCTTACACTTTAAAGGTTTGTCTTGGGGATAAAATTATATCCTTTTTCGAATTGTCAGATAGTATAAAAACAGATTTGAGGCAGAAAGTTGGTTCCTTTCTTAATTGATTTCATACATAAGTGCATTGGTGCTAAACAGGTTCTCTACGCTCAATCCTTTAAACTGGTGATCTCTTTTAGCAGATTAGTTTCGATCTTTATGTAACATCTTAAAATGATTTGAGAATTGAGAAAAATAAAAGGCATTTAAATCCTTTTGAGTTTAAGTTGTGTTCTTTATTATTATCTCGGTTGAGTAGCGAACACTATGAGTTGCCGTTTGGCGAAAAGCTATGGCTTTATCAGATTGTTGATAAAGCCACCGGCTAATAAGCGTCTGCGTTTTCCCCATTTTTCGCGTTTTCCTGCTCATGGGTTCTCTGCGTTTCGCAGTTGCTCCACCGCGACGAGGAACAGATCCATCCCGACAAACCCGATGGCCGGCGAGGAGGCAAACGGTGGAACTACACTGCTTCCGGTTGTTGAAGACAAGTACGATGGCGTAATGACTGAGATAAGTCATCCCATGGATCCTTCTGCCTTCTCTTCACTTCTCCAGTCATCTCTCTCTACCTGGACTCTTCAGGTGCTCTCTCTTCTTTCTTCTTGCCTGTTCTTCTTGTTAGATTGATATGATGGATAGGATGATCATAAGGAATCAGAGCAATAAGTTGTATAGAATCATTTAAAAAGCTGGAGTAGCAAAGAGTAGATGTCACTCTCTTCTTGAAAGTTATTTTATATTCCAATGCGGGCCAGAGAGACTGTGTTACTTTGCTGTAAAGAAAGTGTATTCCTTTGGGAAAGTGAATTCAACTTTTTCACTACACTAACTATTGCTCTAACTGAACTGATGTGTATGATAAGTTGTCTATAAACGTTTTTGTATACGCAGGGGAAGAAGGGAGTGTGGATCAAATTGCCTAGACATCTTATCGGTCTTGCGGAAGCTGCTGTTAAGGTGTTGTTGTTACCTGATGCCTTACCCTGCAGTCAGATTTCTGTAGACTACTTTTGTTACATTGTAACGGAACTGGTTGTGTGTTTAATGAGTAGGAGGGATTCTGGTTTCATCACGCAGAGAAAGACTACTTGATGCTTGTGTACTGGATTCCCAAAGAAGGCGATACGCTTCCTTCCAATGCATCTCACCGTATTGGCATAGGTGCTTTTGTCCTCAACCACAAGAAAGAGGTGTGCCTGTGGCGAGATGATATTTTCAGTTTTTCTATTTTAGAACCTTTCCGAGACTGATTCACATCTATGTCTTTGTGTTTGGATCCGAAGGTGCTGGTGGTTCAAGAGAAGACAGGAAGATTTCGAGGCCAAGGTATCTGGAAGTTCCCCACAGGAGTAGTCAATGAGGTTCTGCTTCTTATCAAATCCTTATACACGGTTCGGTTCCGAATCCCTGATGTGTGTGTGTGTGTTTGTTGACTTAGGGTGAATACATCCATGATGGCTCGGTCAGAGAGGTGAAAGAAGAGACCGGAGTAAGCCTTACGTCATGTATTATTTACCTTTACATTTTACATGAGACTCAATAGCTAACCACACTTTTCTCTGGATCATATGTTTTTAGGTAGATACAGAATTTGTTCAAGTATTGGCTTTCAGGTTACTACTTAAACCACATCATCTGCTTATATCATCAGAACCTGACTCTTATCTGTTTTAATTTATGGCAGACAAACCCATAAAGCTTTCTTTGAAAAGTCAGATCTGTTCTTCGTTTGCATGCTAAAGCCCCTTTCTTTGGAGATCAATGCACAGGAGACAGAGATAGAGGCAGCTCAGGTAACATGTTCACCCCTTTCAATAACTCTCCAGTCTCTACCACCTAAACACTCACAAACATCTTCATCTTTCCTGAAAATGCTATAGTGGATGCCATGGGAGGAATACTTAAAGCAACCATTCGTACAGAATCACGAGCTACTAAGATATATGACAGCCATTTGCTCTGCTAAAACCAACGGTGACTACGAAGGCTTCACTCCTCTCCGTGTCTCTGCGCCTGATCAACATGGCAGCTTATACTTCAACACCCGCGACCTCCATTCCCGCCATTAATCTTCTTTCTCACAACAAGCAAAGCAAGTCGTCTATGTAACTACGTAAGCATATTGACATTTGAATCGTCTCAAACCATCCCAAATGAAAACATTTGCATTCAAATCCAATAGTTTAAATTACAAGACTAAACGGAGCATATCCGTTAGCAATCCTATTGTTTGAAACACACTTGATCTCTCTTTACACTGCCGCAAAATCTAATTTTACATAAACCAACATGATACTTAAATAGATTGATGTTACGAGTTCTTATGTGTATGAATAGGCATGTGTATATATACAGAGATCCACTCTCATCAATCATTCAAGTCCTTGTCCTACCAGAACCAGCTCCACCGTCACCGCCACCACCACCGCCTGTAGACCCATACATATGACTCTGCTGTTGAAGAAACTGATGATGCTGTTGATACTGCATCCCACCACCGTAGAATCCACCTCCATCTTGCTGATGCTCACCACCTTCACCACCTGTCTGTGGCCTCCCAAGTCCAGTCCTCTCCCCTTCAATCTCCCTAAACCTCTGCAAGTAAACTTTCAACGGCTCAACGTAATCCTCGAACCCTAGAGTGGTCATAGCCCACAGCAAATCGTCGCCGTTGATCGTCTTCCTCTTCTCCTTCTGACACTTATCAGAGGCCTCTCCGGTGACGAAGCTTATAAACTCAGAGACACACTCCTGCATCGTCTCTTTAGCGTCTTTGGAGATCTTGGCGTTGGCGGGTAAAGCCTTCTTCATGATCCTGCTCACGTTAGCGATTGGTAAGAACCTGTCTTGTTCTCTGGGAGACAACGATGAAGACTGTCCGTTTTGCCCTCCACCCGAGTCCCTGTCGGAATCTCCCATTCTGAAAGTTACTACGAAATTTTAAAAAAAAAAAAAACAGAAACTTCACTCTTTTTCAAATCATCATGGCTTCACCACTGAAGCAGAGAAATTAGGGTTTTAGAATTAGAAAGTGAATTCAAGTGTCGGCTGAGATTGTATACACATTTGGTGAATGAGTGTCGCCGGCGATTTTATAATGCAACGATGCACGACCTTCTGTTCACTTGACACGTGTGTTTACATTAACCGTCTATTTACTGATAAGGTTCTGACAACTGGGTACGTGCTCAACCGTCGGATGTAATGAGAGATAAATAGCCCTTTAAGACTCTGCCACGTGTTGTGGGCCGTTAGTAGCTATTGTCTGTTAATGTTAAGTCCCACGCGCAGACGAGGAGATTGGTTAACTCAGACAACGAGGGAAAGGGGAGCGTGAAAGACACGGAGCGGAAGATGAAGGCGTTAGGGAGAGACAGAGGGTAACTGCCACTCAACGACTTATCGGTCAATTTACCTTTCTTGTTTTACTTTTTCTTTTTTATGAATTGGGGGTTGGGTGTGGGTGTGGTGGGGTTCATTGCCATCAAACTGCATCGACCAATCAGATCAAACAGCTGTAGGAGAATGGGTCCCAGTTTCCTGCATTTGTCGGTGTTGGTCTTCTCCGGTTGAACCGACCATAGTGTGCTTTTCTAAGCGCGTGATTAACTAACTATAGTGACATGCTTTAATAATCATTTAATTACATAACTAATGGTTACCCACCTGGAAACCTAATGGTCAAGTTGTTCAGTTACCGAATTTAAAAGCCTATAAAGATAATAGATTTGTTAGTAGCTAAAGATCTTCTACTCTTTTTCCTCTTTGGTAAATTTTTGATAAATTGTTGTTTGGTCAACTACACTGACTCCATCTACATGGCGATCGAGGACAAAACCTGCAAAAGTGAAATCCCTAGACTCAGGTGTTAAAAGCTGAAATGTGGGTGTGACTTGAGAGAGTACAGTCGACTACGTTGAACAAAAGCTATCCTCACCCGAGTCTCTTCTCTATGACAGTGACACATCAAGTCCTCCCTTTCACTACTTTTCTATTGCTGGTATTTTCTCCACCTATTCATTCGTCCCAGTGCTTCTTGTCTTCCATCTGAATACTTGAAATGAACCACACAGGTGCTAGTGTTTGCCATTAAGTGTCACACTGGATACAAAAGGAGATCCTGATAAGTATCAAAGAGCTTATGTTCGAAAGAAGAAGTTTGGCGGGAAGCTAGAGACTCTGAATGCGACAAAGGGTTCGACTTCGGATTAAAAATAAGAAAAAGAGCAAAGACTGGGGAGGAAACGGAGGGTTTGCGGTTATAGCCGTTAGAGTCATTTAAATAAAGACGTTGTTGTATTGAGTCGTTTTTCATGCTTGATGTTGTTGGTGAACTTAGACGCGATGAGTCTGAGCTCAAGTTCGTGATGAGAACTTGAGATCGAGCATTTNTTGTTGTATTGAGTCGTTTTTCATGCTTGATGTTGTTGGTGAACTTAGACGCGATGAGTCTGAGCTCAAGTTCGTGATGAGAACTTGAGATCGAGCATTTAGATTTGTAATTGAGCGATACAATTCAAATCTGTAACCGTTGTTCATTGATTCAATACAAGCAAGAGTTTACATACTTAGCGATACCTAAAATCTATCATTGGTGCGGTGAGCAGTTCGAATCGACGCGACGAAGATGTCAACGTGTGGTTCTCCGGTTCAATCGCGTGGTTCTGGTGTGAGCGATGATCGGGATAAGAAGACGAAAGGCAAATTGGAGTTTCTGATGGGAGCGTATACGAGGTTGAAGGAAGCTGGTGAAACAACGAATGAGTCGCTTAGTTCGTTACAGAGAGACGTTTCACAGCTAACGGTGGCGTTGAATGCGTTGACGAAGGCGATCGGGAAACAACCTCTTCAGCAACCGTTAGATCAATCTGATTCGCCGTCGTCGTATCCACAGGTACGATCTGATAACTGGGAGAGAAATCGGAATGCTCCGTTAGGTTATCGGTCAGAGGATTTGAATTTAGCGAATCGTGATAGTATGTTGCGAAAAATTGAAATGCCTTTGTTAGATGGATCTCGTACGTATGAATGGTTGGTGAATGTGGAGCATTTTTTCACTATAGGCAGGTACACTGATGAGGCGAAGATGGAGTTGATTCCGTTATGTGTACAAGGTCAGGTGAAGAAGTGGTTTGGCTGGGTGATTAAACGAGATGGTTTTCGGGATTGGAATGACTTTAAAGAGAGGCTGGTTCTGCGTTTTGCGGAATCGATTGATGATGAACCTGAGACGAGGTTATTTGCTCTGAAACAGACTGGTTCAGTGGCGGATTACATTTCTGAGTTTGAAGATCTGTCGTCTCAAGTTCCTGATCTGGAAGACCATCACTTGGAGAGATTTTTTTACAATGGTTTAACTTCTGAGATGAAAGAGGTGATACGTATGAAAGATCCACATGGTTTACAGAACTACATTGCAGCGGTGTTGCGTATGGAATCCAGTGCTTTCTGCAAAGTAGTTGGTGGGAGTGCTGTCACCACAACACATTCTTCCAAGAAGTGGCCTAAGCAGAATGATTCGTTGGTGTCTAAAACGAATGATCAGACAGATAAACAGAAGAGTTTGTTGTTGGATGGGAAGCAAAAGGATGCAAGTTCAGGACAAAAACCACCATTGCGACCTCGTCAGAAATACTCTGATGCAGAGCTGGATAATATGAGAAGAGAAGGAGTATGTTTCAAGTGCGGTGCTAAATGGTCTCGTGCTCATGCTGCCGTCTGTCCCAACAGAGAACTTCGCATTATGACAGTCATGAATGGTTTGGAGTTAGAAGTTTTGGATGACACTGAAGAAGAAATTATATGGACAGGAAGCAGTAGCAAACCTGAGCTGAAAACCTTATCTTTTAATGCGTTTTTGGGAATTAATTCTCCGAAGACAACCAAGTTACTTGGTCAGATTGGTAACTGTGAGATGATAGTCTTGCTCGATTCTGGAGCATCCCACAACTTCATTTCCCCGGAAGTTGTGAAGAGGCTACACCTGAAAGTTTATGCTGATAGTAGCCTAGATGTATTGCTTGGGAATGGAGTTATTGTTCAAGGATCAGGCGTTTGCCGTTCAGTATCCTTTAAACTTAACTCTACGACCTTTACATCTGACTTCATCTCACTTGAATTGGGATCAGTAGACGTTGTATTGGGCATACAGTGGCTTGAAACTCTGGGCAAATGTGAGGTGGACTGGAAAGCACAGGAGCTCTCATTTGTCTACGAAGGAAACCGAGTCACTTTGTTTGGGGACCTTAGTTTACATGGTGCTCTTTCCGTATTCAAGTCACCACCACCCTTCTTTGCTGCTAGCATCAAGGGTAGGGAAGTGCTTTGTGCTAGTGGTGAAGCCTCGTCTACTGTACCAGAGATTCCTATGGAAGTGTCTCATGTTCTAGAGGATTTTGCGCTTATCTTTGATCTTCCTAAGCATCTTCCACCGTTTCGTGGCATTGAGCATTCCATAGAGCTTTTCCCTGGAGTATCTACGGTGTCAGTACGACCATATAGATATCCTCACACTACGAAGTTGGTTATGGAAAAAATGGTTTCGGATATGTTAGACGCAGGGATCATCCGTCCAAGCAGTAGTCCGTTTTCTAGTCCAGTTCTTTTGGTTAAGAAGAAGGATGGTAGCTTTCGTTTATGTGTGGATTATAGAGCGCTTAACAGAGTCACAGTGCCTAACAAGTTCCCTATTCCGGTTATTGATCAATTATTGGATGAACTTCACGGCGCAGTGGTGTTTTCCAAGTTGGACTTACGCTCTGGTTATCATCAAATACGTATGGAGGAGAAGGACATTCAAAAGACTGCTTTCAGGACTATAGAAGGGCATTATGAGTTCTTAGTAATGCCATTTGGCTTGACTAATACACCGGCGACTTTCCAGGCTTTGATGAATCGTGTGTTCAAACCGTTTCTCAGGAAATTTGTGTTGGTATTTTTTGATGATATTCTGGTGTATAGTCAATCTTTGGAGCTACATGTGGAGCACCTGCGAGAGGTTCTGCAAGTATTTCAGGATCACTCTTTGTTAGCTAACAGGAAGAAATGTGTTTTTGGTTTACGTGAGGTGGAATATTTGGGTTACATCATTTCTGGAGCTGGTGTAGCAACTGAATCTACGAAGACTGAAGCTATGCGAGTGTGGCCTATTCCTAAGACCATTAAACAACTTCGTGGGTTTTTGGGTTTGACTGGATATTACAGAAACTTTGTGCGCAGTTATGGGATTTTAGCTAAACCTTTGACTTCGTTATTGAAGAAAGATAAGTTTGAATGGTCAGCTGAGGCAGAGGAGGCTTTTGGTGATCTGAAAAATGCAATGGTGACAGCTCCGGATTTAGCCCTTCCTGATTTTAACAAAACTTTTGTGGTGGAGACTGATGCTTCTGGTTTTGGTTTGGGAGCTGTTTTAATGCAAGATAAGAAACCTATTGCGTTTTTCAGTCATGCTTTGACAGATAGAGAGCAGTTGAAACCGGCTTATGAGAGAGAGTTAATGGCAGTGGTGATGGCTGTGCAGAAGTGGAAACACTATTTGCTTGGACGAAAGTTTATAGTTCATACGGATCAAAGGAGTTTGAAGTACTTACTTGAGCAAAAGGAAGTGAATATGGAATATCAGAGGTGGCTTACTAAGCTTTTGGGTTATGATTTTGAGATTCTTTACAAGCCTGGTTGTGAGAACAAAGCTGCAGATGGGTTGTCGCGTTGTATGGATAAGGCTGTGGGCTCTTTTAGTATGATTCTTTTGGCTTTGACAGTGCCTTCGGTGTTGCAGTTGCAAGATTTGTACCGCGAGATTGATGCAGATGAGGAACTGGGACTTTTGAAGAAGCGTGTGCAAGAGGGATTGCTGAGTAATTCAAATTATCAACTTTTGGAGGGCAGAGTTTGGTATAAAAGGCGACTGATGATTCCTAAGACATCTCGGTTTATTCCATTACTCTTACAGGAGTTTCATGATAGCAAGTTAGGAGGTCATTCGGGTGTACTCAAGACTGTGAAGCGTATTCAGCAACAATTCTATTGGGAGGGAATGCTTAAAACTGTTCAGCGCTATGTGTCTGAATGTGTTATTTGTCAAACTCACAAATACTCCACATTGTCACCAGCGGGTCTGTTGCAGCCTCTACCTGTTCCAGAACAGATTTGGGATGATATATCCTTGGATTTTATTGAGGGGCTTCCAACTTCTCAAGGGTTTAATGTGATTTTGGTGGTGGTGGATCGTTTGAGTAAGTTTGCACACTTCATTGGGTTGAAACATCCTTTTTCTACTATGGATGTAGCGTTGAAGTTCATTGAAGCTGTGGTACGCCTCCATGGTTATCCCAAGAGCATTGTGTCCGATCGTGATCGCATTTTTCTTAGTGCATTTTGGACAGATACGTTTAAGCTTGCTGGTACTAAGTTGAAATTCAGCACAGCTTTCCATCCTCAGCCTGATGGACAAACAGAGGTACTTAACCGTTGTTTGGAGACCTATTTGAGATGTTTTGCCTCTTCTCATCCTCGTACGTGGTATAAGTTTCTGGCTTGGGTAGAATTGTGGTACAACACTTCCTATCATACTTCTTTGAAGGCTTCTCCGTTTCAAGTGGTTTATGGCAGAGCACCTTCGTCTTTGGTTCGCTTTGAGGACGGTTCTACTAAGAACTTTGAGTTAGAAGCAGCCTTGAAGGAAAGGGATACTATGTTGGAGCAAATTCGTTTGAATTTGTTACGTGCTCAGGATTTGATGAAGAAGAATGCGGACAATCATCGGCGTGATGTTGAGTTTGCGGTGGGCGATTCCGTGTTCTTGAAGTTGAAGCCTTATCGTCAACAGTCTGTGGTGAAGCGTGTGTGTCAAAAGCTCGCCGCGAAATTCTTTGGTCATTTTCTTGTGGACTCACGGATTGGCAAAACGGCTTATCGTTTACAGTTACCGGCTTCTTCTAAGATTCACCCCGTCTTTCACGTGTCTCAGTTGAAGCTGGCTCTAGGTACTTGTGCTGATATTACTCCGTTGCCGTTGGAGATGTTGGAGGAGTTGGATCAGTTAGTGGTGCCGGAGGATGTGATTGCCAAACGTTATGATGCTGATGGCAATTTGGAACTACTGGTGCAGTGGAAGAATTGCCCTTCTCACGAGAATTCCTGGTTCTCTTATGTTGAGTTTGTCAAGCAATTCCCATTATTTAAGCTTGAGGACAAGCTTAATTTCAAAGGAGGGAGTATTGATAAGTATCAAAGAGCTTATGTTCGAAAGAAGAAGTTTGGCGGGAAGCTAGAGACTCTGGATGCGACAGAGGGTTCGACTTCGGATTAAAAATAAGAAAAAGAGCAAAGACTGGGGAGGAAACGGAGGGTTTGCGGTTATAGCCGTTAGAGTCATTTAAATAAAGACGTTGTTGTATTGAGTCGTTTTTCATGCTTGATGTTGTTGGTGAACTTAGACGCGATGAGTCTGAGCTCAAGTTCGTGATGAGAACTTGAGATCGAGCATTTNTTGTTGTATTGAGTCGTTTTTCATGCTTGATGTTGTTGGTGAACTTAGACGCGATGAGTCTGAGCTCAAGTTCGTGATGAGAACTTGAGATCGAGCATTTAGATTTGTAATTGAGCGATACAATTCAAATCTGTAACCGTTGTTCATTGATTCAATACAAGCAAGAGTTTACATACTTAGCGATACCTAAAATCTATCAGATCCAAATAGACCAAAGCTGTAACTAAGCTCTATAGATGCTATCACAATTCGACTAATGTACCTAGGGCCTGTTTGTTTCACCATCCAGATGAGTCATCTGGATGGAGATGAGAGTTTTGTTTGTTTATACACTAAAAGTATAACTCATCTAGATGGATCCTCCGGATGACTTTGAAATTTTAGGCTTAATTTTGAAGTCCATCTGGATGGACCAATTTGAACCATCTGGATGGAGATGGTTCTTCCAAAATTGTATAATGTCTATTATACCCCTTTATATAATTCATAAATTACAAACCTAAACATACTATTATTTTGTAACTTACATGACAAAACCACATTTCCTCAAATGATCAAACCGCATTTTTCCGCCAAAACTGTAAAAACACGTTTTTCCGCCAAAACTGTAAAAACGTGTTTTCTCGACAAAATCGCAAAAATGAATTTCCTACCAAAACCGCAAAAACATTTTTTCCGCCAAAACCGTAAATACATTTTTCCTAGCTAAAACCGCAAAAATGTGTTTCCCACCAAAACCGCAAAAACTCGTTATTCCGCCAAAACACATTTTTCCGCAAAAACGCGTTTTCCGCCAAAACCGCAAAATACGTTTTCTTAGCAAAACTGCAAAAATCCGGTTTTATGCCAAAACGTATTTTCCCGAAAAACTGAAAAACACGTTTTCCCGCCAAAACTGCAAACATTGGTTTTCCTTCCAAAACCGCAAAAAATCTGTTTTTTTCGCAAAAACGCGTTTTCTCATAAAAACCGCAAAACGTGTTTTCCCCTAAAAACGTGTTTTTCGCCAAAACATGTTTTCCGCCAAAACGCATTTTCCCGCAAAAACGCCTTTTCCCGCCAAAACGCGTTTTCCCGCCAAAACGCGTTTTCCCGCCAAAACGCGTTTTCCCGCCAAAACGTATTTTCCCGCAAAAACGCCTTTTCCCGCCAAAACGCGTTTTCCCGCCAAAACGCGTTTTCCCGCCAAAACGTGTTTTTCCGCAAAAACGCGTTTTCCCGCCAAAACGTGTTTTTCCGTAAAAACGGGTTTTCCCGCCAAAACGCGTTTTCCCGCCAAAACGCGTTTTCCCGCCAAAACGCGTTTTCCCGCCAAAATGCGTTTTTCGCAAAAACGCGTTTTCCACCAAAACGCGTTTTTCCACCAAAACGCGTTTTTCCGCCAAAACGTGTTTTCCCGCCAAAACGTGTTTTCCCGCCAAAACGCGTTTTACCGCCAAAACGTGTTTTCCCGACAAAACGTATTTTTCCGCTAAAACGCATTTTTTTGCCAAAACGCGTTTTCCCGCCAAAACGTGTTTTTCGCAAAAAACGCGTTTTCCCGCCAAAACGCATTTTTTGCTAAAACAGAAAAAATTAGTTTTCCCGCCAAAACCGTAAAAATACCTTTTCTGCCAAATCGCAAAAACACGTTTTCTCGAAAAACACATTTTCCTGCAAAAACGTATTTTCCGCTAAAATCGCAAAAACGTGTTTCCCGCTATAACCACAAACACGCATTTTCCAACTAAAACCACAAAAACCCGTTTTCCCCAAATCCGCAAAAACTCATTTTTGCGTCAAAATTATAAAAATATATTTAAAATTAATATCATACATATGACTAAATTAAAACAAGGGTATTTTAGTAATTTTTTTAGTAAACTCATCTAGATGGAGAAGAAAAACAAAGAAACAAACATGAGTCCATCTAGATGATCCATCGAGATGGACCATCTTGATGGACAAACAAACAATCTTAAAAATGTGGATGGACCATGTAGATGAATCATCTAAATAGATTAGCTGGATGGAGATGATAGATGGTGAAACAAACAGCACCCTACACGTATCAAACTTGTTCCTTCTACCAATGACTCCCGTGTGTACTACACCTTTGGGGAGATCAGGTTACAGTGCCTACGCAGCGTGGTATCAACATCACAACAAAAAAATTCAGACATAAGCAGTATATTTCTTGGAGAAATCTTTTGTTTTTTTGTTATCCAAAAAAGCTTCTTTTTTTTTTTCATGATCTTAGTTTGTTTAGTTGGCGCTTCAGTCAAAACGAGCCGAGACTCTACATTGCTTTTCACGTCCCCACATTCTAATCAAGAATGATGATTTTTGCATCATATTATGCGTAAAGGTTTTCATGTTTTGGTACAATAGTAGAGTGATCACACTTGAATACATCAGATGAAATGCAACATCAGTGACCCAAACGAAAATGGCTGAGAGAAACATGTCTCCAGACTTCGATTAACAGAACAACTGAAGACAAGGAATAAAGTCAGGACTCTGGCGCTTTGGAGTGAGTTTCAGAGACTATGAAGCTTGCAATATCAGCACAACAAGTAAGCTTATCGGCTTTTTCATCAGGGATCTCAATAGAGAACTCTTCTTCAATAGCCATCACTATCTCCACCCTGTCTAAGCTGTCCAGCGACAAATCTTTCTTAAAATCAGCCGTTTCGGTAACCTGTAATCAAACCATGTTACAACTTCTGACCTTAATTCACTAAATAAACGTTATATGCAAACAAGAAGAAACAGTACCTTAGAGGCATTGGTTGTGTCGTACTTCTTGACCAGTTCAATAACCTTACTTAAAACCTGGTCTTGGCCTCCTACTGTTGTGAAATTCATTTTACTAATGAAAACATTCTCCTTCTCGAGAATCAAAACCGGTCGGACCGGTACTCTCAGTCTCAGATGTTGCAGGATTGAGCTCCTAATGCTATGCATCTTCGAGTACAACTGAAACAAACCCACCTATCAAATCAAGCCAAGTGGAAGAAGTTTCAAGCTTTACACATGGTTAACAGGAACAGTTGATGTAAAAGGAATGAAAACTATTTTTATACAAATTGGACAAAAGAAGATACGAAATTCGAAATTGGAACGCAAATATTATTGCCCGGATGAAGAATACCAAACTAAGAGCTTTGATTTAACAAAGAAACCATACCTGCGAGGCTGCGAATGAGAGTTTTCTTTCTATTTTCTAGGTCGTATTCCTCTAGAGCGGGAGATAGGAGAATGATAGATAGAGAGTGTATCTTCACCCTAGTTAAAAACATATATGGGCCGAAAAGATTATATTATGGCCCAGTAAGTCTTTTGAGAATGTTTTTTTCATCTTTTACTTTTTATTTTGAAAGGATGGGGGTCCACTAGTGTGTTCATCTTCCCCTTACTTCTAAAAATGGACATGTGATGGTTTTCTTGTAAAATATATTTTCCCGATCTAGTAAGACTGCTTAATCTTCCGATGTAGAGTATTAATTGGGCAAACTTTTGATGCCAAACGAATAAATTGAGTAAAGCTTTTATACAAAGAGTTAGTTGGTAAATAGGCTATGAAAACATCTAACTGCATTATGGTTGGTTGAGGATATTCAATACCATTTGTCACACTCGTAGATTAAACATTTGACGTCAGTCTCTTCTTTAATGAAATCAATAGAATTTAATGAAGAAATGGTAGGTAATTACGAATTATTAAATTCTGGATTAAATGTTGGGCGGGCGAATAAATTATTTGGTGATATAGACCTATGTGTTGTAAATGCTACCATTTGTTTTTGTAGTATGTATATGATGATTTGTGTGATGGATGCAAACTCGTATTGTTATCATTATCATCGGTGGTGGGTAATTGATCTGTTCATAATTATACAAGAAATTTCCTATGATAAACTTTTCTAAAAATTTTGTTATAAATATAAATTTTAAAAATAAAATATTTAAATATTTTATTTTAAAATAACTAAATATACATTTATATCTTTTGGATTAAGTAATCTTAAACATTTTTATTTACAATTGGATAGTGAAGTTTTGGGTTGGTTTTCAAATTTAAAAAAATTAAAAAAAAAAATAAAATTTTCAAAGTAAAAAATTTATTTTGATTATAAAATTTATTTTTGTGATAAAAACTTAAAAAGATCTATTTGAGAAAAGTGCCCTAATTATTTTACCAAGAGAGAAACTAAATGTAGAGATTTATATACGTAAGCAATTTTCTAAAAGAGAGCAGACTAACCACATTACTAAATTTTTAGTGATTAATAGCCAGTCGACTATCCATGTTTAATTTTTGTTAGGAGAAACTATTTATAATGTTTTGTTTTGGATAAAGAGGTGAAATCACTTTTCTAATATCAAAAAAAGTTGATTTGGAATAAAGATGAATGAATGAAAAATATGGGTATGAAAGTTGGTAATTATTTGGGTGCACAAGGAATGCCTTGTATCCTTGAAACATCTTCCACTGAATTATTTTAATAATCATCCAGTTCAATTATAAATTAATTTGAAAAGCAAGATATATATATGGACAATAAAATTCGTGGGATGCCAATCTTCATCGTCATCAACCATTCAATCCCACATGTTCCTGCCCACTTTGATTCCCCAAATTTATATTTTTTTAAATAAAATATCCATGACATTTTCATTTTATAGTAAGCTCATTCAAATATTCGCAATCAAAAATAATTAGTGTCTATAGAATTACATGTTGAGTCTTTTCATAGTTAGCTGATTAACGAACCATGCCTTGCACTTTGTTGGATCAATAAAAATAATGTTTGGTCTGTAATGATGCTGATGTGTTATCTACTAGTGAGAATAATAAAACAAAACTGATATTTCAAAGTAAATGGAAATAATTTGCAAAAAGAATCCCTATTGTGAGGAACAAAATCCAGATAAACCCGTAATTAATTTGGATGATTCTGTAACGATCTTAATTAATTACATTTTTAAGTCATCCCATATCTTATTCATGTTAGATTTTGAAAATCAAAATTTGTCTCAATTTTTTAAAAAAAGACCAACATACAAACCAACAAACAGTCGGTTATTAATTAGAGTGATTTAGTGAACTATCCATGTTTGAAGCTCAAATTAGCAAAATACAATTGATTGGACATGAAGGACACTGACACAACCATTTGGTAAGGAAATGCCGAGAATGTCCTCTCTCTTTCCTCTCATTAACACGAAGCGTAAAAATATTTGTTAACATATAACACTTCTGTTAACGTCTAAAATATTTTTTAACACCCAACACATTTATTACCGCGAAGCGTAAAAATAATTGTTAACAGTTAACACTTCTGTTAACGTCTACAATATTTGTTAACAGCGAACACATTTATTAACGCGAAGCGTAAAAATAATTGTTAACAACTAACACTTTTGTTAACGTCTACAATATTTTTTAACCGCTAACACGACGTCGAATCTAAAACCCAGAAAATTGATATCATCAAAAAATTGAGGATTCAAAGCCACTTATGAAAAAAAATAATGAAAATTAAAATTTAATTGAATATAGAATGATAGAGATTTGTAAAATAATTAGGGATTTGGGAGAAAAAAAGTCAAAATTGAGGATTCAAAGCCACTTATGAAAAAATAATAAAATTTAAAATTTAATTGTATATAGAATGATAGGGATTTGTAAAATAATTAGGGAGTGAAAGAAAAAAAAAAAAGGAATTATTACTTCCTTTTAAATTATTTATTACAAGAGAGAAGAATTAAAAATACGAAAATGCCATCGTCTCTCTGTCAGCGAAACAAACATTCGATACAAGAAAAAAACAAAACGTAAGAAGGAGAGCTTCTCTTCCCATATTTGCTGTTTCTCTTGTTCTACAAACTCAAATCATCCATTTTCTTTTTTGCCATTTCGAAATTAAAACAGTAAAATCCATTTCTATTATCGGACAAAAATAAAAAAGAAAGAAAGAGAGGGGGGAGAAAAGAGGGCCTCACGCCCTCTTATTAAAAGCTTCATCCTCTCCAATCTCTTTAGATTTCAATCTCCCCTTCTCTTCCTCTTCTCCCTTTTCTTAAACTTCGGTAACATACAGATTCTCTCTCTCTCTTCTCTCATGGGTTTTGATATTTTCTTCAAAGCTTAGACCTTTTTTCTGATCGACCCATGTGTTTGTTTGTTTGCAGGAATCCAGGATCGTGGGTCGATCGGTTCAAAGAATCCGATCAAGACCCATCTGTTCGTTTTCATTGATTACTCTTTTCCCAAAAGGTTTGTTTGTAACAGATGATTCTCGGTTTCTTGAGTTTTCAGTAAGATCAAGATGTTAACTAGATGTGTATATATACTCTCTTTCTTTTCCCTTGTTGCAGAATGGAGATGGAATCATGTAAGTTGTTCATCGGTGGGATCTCTTGGGAGACCACTGAAGATCGTCTCCGTGAGTATTTTCAGAGTTTCGGTGAGGTTTTAGAGGCTGTGATCATGAAGGATCGAGCCACTGGTCGTGCTCGTGGCTTTGGTTTCCTTGTCTTCGCTGACCCAAGTGTTGCTGAGAGAGTCGTCTTGCTCAGACACGTCATTGATGGTAAACTTGTAAGTGTTTTCCATCAACGATTACATTGCTTCAATATCAATCTGCTTCCTTGGATAATGATTAGTTGTTTGAATCAGAGGTTGCTGTCCCTAGAAGCAAAGATATTCCTTTTAATTCGTATTCCTCTTTTAGACTATATAGTATTTATTCTACATGGTCATAGTCAGCGTAAGGAACCACCAAAATCAGAGCATGACTCTCTGATATGATACATATCTTTCTGCCGATGTTCGTCAAAATGTTGATCATTTCATTGTGCTTAATCTAACACAGCTGTTGTCTTTAACTCTCATTGGTCTGAGTGTACACAATGAGTAACAAACTATTCTCGTTCTCGTTCGTTTGATCCTAAGTTAGAATGCTACATTTTATGCATGAGGATTTTTATTTCATAAACAAGAATCAACCTAAGTTATAGTAGTAAAGATTTCATTTTATTCCATGATCTCAGGTTGAAGCGAAGAAGGCGGTTCCAAGAGATGATCATTTAGTATTGAACAAAAGTAACAACACTAGTCTCCAGGGATCACCTGGCCCAGCTAACAGCAAGAAGATCTTTGTCGGAGGTTTGGCTTCATCGGTGACAGAAGCTGAGTTCAAAAACTATTTTGCTCAGTTTGGGGTGATCACTGATGTTGTGGTGATGTATGACCATAGAACCCAGCGACCAAGAGGCTTTGGGTTCATCTCTTATGAATCAGAGGAAGCTGTAGACAAAGTTCTGCAGAGGACATTCCACGAACTCAATGGAAAGATGGTGGAAGTCAAACTAGCTGTTCCTAAAGAAATGGCTCTGAACCCAATCCGGAACCAAATGAATGTAAATAGCTTTGGCAATAGTAGAATCAGTGCATTGCTGATGAACGAGTACACCCAAGGATTCAGCTCGAGTCCAATCTCCGGTTATGGAGTCAAACCTGAAGTTAGGTACAGTCCAGGATTAGGTAATAGGGGTGGCTTCTCGCCGTTTGGACATGGATTTGGAATAGAGCTGAACTTTGAGCTAGACCAGAGTCAGAACTTTGGATCTGGTTCCAGTGCAGGCTTTGGACGTCCCTTTAGCCCAGGATATGGTGCGAGTCTTAACAGGTACGGTAGCCAGATTGAGTCAGGAGGAGCTAACGGTTCTGTGCTAAATGCAGCAACAAAGAATCATTTATGGGGTAGTGGTGGTCTAGGTTACACGTCAAACTCTACAATGTCTAGAAGCAGCTTCAATGGAAACTCTGGAATGTCTTCACTAGGCAGTATAGGAGACAAGTGGGAAGCAGCTGCACGTGAACGTAATAGCTACCGCAGTGAAGGAGGAGGCTTAGGATTAGAAGCAATGAGAGGAGTTCATGTTGGTGCGTACAGCAGTGGCTCAAGCAGCTTGGAGAATGACTCTCTGTACAGTGACTCAGCGTGGCTTTCGATGCCTGCAAAGGCGGAGGAAAGAATGGGAGCATTTGACTTCATGTCTAGAGGACCAGCTGGTTACATCAACAGCCAACCAAACGGAGGTATGAATAATGAACACATTTTTTTTCATCTGAGAGGTTAAACATTTGTGTTCTTGGGAAAATTCTGATGGACTATATGAAAATGGTATTGTTGTTGCAGGAATTGCAGCTTAGAGAAGTGATAAACCCATTCCATGGAGATCAGATGATGATTTGACTATTTGCAGAAGAGAGTTTTTAGAAGAGGAAAAAAATTATTTGTTCAAAAAAGCTTTTATTTACTTATTTTACTATTTTGATTGTTGTTATAGTTTTTATTTTTTCACCCTTTTTCTAATTTGGGATTTTGTTTCTTTTATCTTGAGAAAAATGTAAACAGAGTTATATAAAGAGACAGAGAAACAATGAAGTTGTGTATTACGTTCTTGTCTTTCTGTCTGTCCTTTTCAAAATCTGGATATAGATTGACTTACGTAAACATGAATAAATACACGAGCAATGTATTGCCTAGAATGAAGGCAATCGTAGTGTGAAGGCGACATGTGGCAACCATGTGGTTGATGATAAGCCAAGAATACAAAGAGCAATCCCATCATCATTCACCATAATATCCATTTATGTGAAGTGGACCAAAAGAGAGAGAAGTGAGAGTTACAGTCCTCTAAATACAGACGAAACATCCTAATCCTGAGAGCTTCAAGACTTAACTGGAACAGCCACCATTGTCCCCACACTTCTTTATAAGGTTATCTAAACCCACGAGAGTCTCTCAAAGTAATTAAGATGCGTTTGCTAGTAGCAGAAGTAGCTGCAGCTTATTCACCATTGTCCTCTGCTACTCCAGTATGTAACTCACAAACTTGCAGATGGAAGCCTTACGCATCCCTCCTCCTCATCCTTCTAGTCTCTGCTCTCATATGTGCCCTCTCTCTTTACGCTTCAATCCGTTGCTTTCTCCGCTCAACTCTCCAGACTGACGCCAAGCCTGATGCTGAAGAGGATGTTTCAGCAACCATACCAGTTCCTACGCTTGTCTACTCCTCAGACCTTGAGCTTGCAGGAGCTGAAGCAGAGTGTGCTATCTGCTTGTCTGAATTTGAACAAGGTGAGAGCATCCAAGTGCTGGAGAAATGTCATCATGGGTTCCATGTCAAATGCATCCACAAGTGGCTCTCGTCCCGCTCATCATGTCCTACTTGCCGGACTTCTATTTCCTTACAAAACACTTTAGACTTTGCACCATCAACAGAAACTCCTTCAACAAACCAGATTAATGCTTAGCTTTCCTCACTTCTTGTCCCATTTTCTCTATCTTTCTTCTTTCCAATGCTTAGAGTTGTATCATGTTTGCTTGAGATTACTGCCCTGATGATGTTCTATATTAGGTAAAACTATAAAACACAGACAAATAACTACAACGTGTATGAATCAAATTATATTTAATTAAGCTCTAAGCCTCTAAACAAATGCAAAATAACAACTCTATTAAAGAAAACACAAGGACTGAAGGGCTCTCTCGTTAGTGGTTAATTAACAAGCCACATGTAAAAGACTAAAACAGCAAAGACACTGTCGTTTAACTTTCGAGGATAAATCAGAAAATACCAAAACTCCGCCTTGTAAGAACAAAAAGATAAAAGAGTACAAAATTGACAACTCATTTACCATCCATAGGTGATCGCTAAGGTCAGCGGTTAACAACAAAGCAACGTTTCATGTAAAATTATACATATTATTGCGGAAACTACTCATGTGAAAAGAAAAAAAACTACAATTGGGTAAAAATGTGTGGTAGCCTCCATTTGCTTATCCCATAACCATAAGACTTCATCATAACTATTTCTTTACTTTCAGACAAAAAAAGCTATTTCCTTAGTTGCATATCTTAGATTTTAAAAGGTGAAAAATAAATGAAAAATTCTTAAAAACGTCGTAAACGTTTGTTAATTAACAAATGTTTATACTTGGTCCTTAAAGACACGTGTCTCAAATTCTCTTCTTCTCCCTTCTCTTCGTCTCCGTTCTCTACTTCTCTCTCCACGTCGCCTATACCAGAGGACACGGTCATTCATCTCCTCCTTCTGCTTCCATCTCTTTCGTTCCATCTCTCCTCTCTCCTTCTATCTTTCTGGTTTGCTCGATCGGATGAAGGATTCGGCGTCTCTCTCGGTGGACCTCTCGTGCACAACAACAAGTCAACTCTCTTCGATACTTTCTCTTTCGGTATGATTGGGTCTAGCTTCCATTAGCTTATCATAAAACTTGGCTCTCTTCATAAGATGGGTGATTATAAAGTTTTGATTTTTAGGCCAAGTTTCTATCTTTAATGCTTAATGGTTATTCAGTTGTGTTGTTTCGTTATATGGGAATGAATTTTGTTTCTGGTTATGTTTTCATTGATGGGTCAGGGATTGATTACAGAGCAATGGAGCTATATTGATTACAGAGTAGTGGAGCAAAAAGGGATCTTGAAGGGTTTAACTTAGAGAGGGTTATATTGATGGGAAGTATTGCATTGGCTGGGAAGAAGGCTCTTGAAAGTTCTGGTCTTGGTGGTGATAAGCTTAGCACGGTACTACTCTTCTAGATTGATCAAAGTTCAGAGCTTTGAGACTCATGGATTCCCAACTTCTGTACAAGGGTATTATGTTTCATCACTTCGTCTTCTGACCTTAGTTCCTCGAGCCATGAAAAACGGAAGAAGAGAAAAAGAAGTTCAAATAAAGATAAGCACATGCGGTCTAAATGAAAAGATAAGTGCCACGGGAAAAAGCGGAGGATACGTGATAACTGATAAGAGAACGAAACGCAAAATATGAAGGTTTGCAAGTCTTGTACACTTACTAGGAGATTTTTCAGTGTGAGTGTTGGTTACTGCTTTGCGATCTCTTCACTGGTGGCACATGCTTTCTTCTGTAATAAAAGAGATCGCAAAGCTGCAACTTCCTCTTCCTTCTTTACATTAGGAGAATTTTAGTGATTTAGTTGGTCTGCACAATTACCGGTTTAACTAGTGGTGTATAGTGTATAGTGAGAGTCATGTTAGCTTATGTTTCTGAAAATCTATTTTTATGGATCTAAGCATGATTAATTTTGTTCCACTCGTACGTAGTAATGTCTAGCCAACCGTCATTTGGTTGAGTAGGTCTTTTCTGTTTTGGGGAGCATGTGCTGGAGCAAGTAGTCTTAAGTATTAACTGGTTGAGTTACTTAAGTATCATAGTTATTCACTTTGTTCTGCAACCTTCCAAGTCCCCAGACAATCTTATAGGGGAAGAAGGCAATAGTGAAAGTGATGCTAATGTTGATATAAGGGGAAAAACGGTGAAACTCAGAGTCTCCAATATAGCAGGTAATATCTAAAATTCAGAGTTGGGTTGTAGCTTCTATTCCCGTCCTCCTGCAAACATCAATTTTTCTGATTTGTTTTTGTAATGGCATGTCCAGTGGATGGACATAACGCTTTGTGTGCCATGTGATCATAATATATCAAGTTCTTGTGCTTGTTCTCTATATATTTCATACTTCATGTACGTGTGCTTTGTTGTTCTGTTTTATGTTCCATGTTTCAAATTTTGCTGCTTGTTATGTATTTCAAATGATTTTTTACTAAGAGACAACATAAAAGTTTCTACCAATAATTTGCATATTTGCTTGTGTTTCTTAACATTGTCTCTAAATCAAAAACTAATAATAAAAAATGCTAAGAGACATTAATTTTGTCCCTGCAATAATGTTGCTCTTAACTTCAAATACTGTATAAAAGAAAAAAGATTACAGATACCAAACCTCTTGCTGAACTGAAGTGTTAGCTCTACGACGTCGTTTCGACATTTTAATCATTCATTACTAAACGGGGAAACTCGATTGTTTTTTTTTTTCGATCTCCTGAGAACGGAAGAGAAACCTGAAAACAACGAAAGAAATCGAGAAAAGCGAAAATGGCAGGAAGACTGAGCGGTGTGGCGTCACGAATCATGGGCGGAAACGGCATCGTTTCCCGATCCAACGCCTCTTCTCTCCGCCAACGCGCCGGGATGGGTCTCCCCGTCGGCAAACACATCGTCCCCGATAAGCCGGTCAGTCAAATCTCTCTCTCTCTCTCTCTCCTTAGATTCTTCCAAAATTCGTTTCCATTTTTGAGACTCTTCCCCTTTGATTTAGCTTTCGGTTAACGACGAGCTGATGTGGGACAACGGGACTGCGTTCCCAGAGCCTTGTATAGATCGGATTGCTGATACCGTCGGGAAGGTTAGTTTAGGGTTTTCGAATTGTTTTAAAAATTCGATTGTTTTAGGGATTTGATTTGTTGGATGTGAATGAAACAGTATGAAGCATTGGGATGGTTGTGTGGCGGTTTAGGGTTCTTTGCGTCTCTTGGTTTGCTCGCTGTTTTGAACGATAAAGCTTCCAAAGTTCCTTTTGTAAGTAAATTTTTTTCTAATTTCTGTTTTCATTACGCAAATGATTGCATTGTGGTGTATTGAGTGTTATTCTCTGGTATGGATTTGAGCTAAAACACGCTGCAATTAGTCCATGATTTTGCTAATAAAATGTTACACTATGATGCTACTTTGAATTCGATTCATCAAACAACATTGTCTTCTTTGATGTATATAATATGAAACATTTACTTGGAATAGGCTTATTCACCAGAGACTATTCAGTTAACAGAACGTTCTCTTCTTCTGCTATTGCATATTATCTGTTTATGAATATTAGATAATCAGTTCTTACTGTTTGCTATTGCTTCTTGCCAAAGTATTTGAAGCGATGGATCTTTGTTTTCATCATTCTTTCTTTATTCACTCAACATGTGCAGTGTTATTATTAGGAACACTAGCCACTATTGTTCTTGCGAACTCTGGTACATGCTTAAGCTAACACGTGGGTTATAATCAGTGGTTCAATTCTCTTAGTGGCCACTGGCCAACGATCATATAACAGTTGTATCAAAGGCTTACTATGATGAGTTGTGTTTTGAAATATTTCGAATTATAGAAGCTGAACAGCACACTAGTAGTAGGGCTAAGAAGTTTCTCTTTGTCTTCTTGTGTCTAGCTAGACATGAGATGAACTGCTACTGTTGTTCTCTGACTCTCCTCGTGTATTTTTTTTGTATCATTGTGATGCTTGTTTTTCCATTTCATGATATTTCTTATTGTGTTTTCGCTGCAGACGCCGCGAGTGTATCCGTATGATAACTTGAGAGTGGAGCTTGGAGGAGAGCCATAGAAGAGACCTATCAAGTGATATACTCAATCAAAACTCAATCAGTGTTTTCGTCACTGCTTTGTTTTTCAAAATGTTTTAACTTTGTGCTCAGAACTTGAATACAAAAGAATAAATGAGACTTGCGTTTTCCATTTATATGTGCTGTCTCTGTAATTAACAGTCACCATTTGGGTGATTCATAAGAGTAAGACATCTGTTTTCAATAAATATAAAAACTCTGTTCGGTTGTGTCTACACAAGTGAACACAAAGCAGTAGCGACATGTGTCAGTAGCCTCGTATGACTCCAAACAATGGCTAAAAAAGAAAGAAAGAAGACGGAAATGGAAAGTTACTGAATGTGGCATGTGTGAGTGGGGAGCATTGAGAGGGACTTGAACTAGTACGTCATTCCAAAGATATCGAAAAATTTGGTGTTAATCATTACGTACTAGGTATTTATTTCGTCATTTTGGTATATGATTACATGTCTTATACGCATTACGTTCGTTCATTTGTACCTATATTCGTTTTCACTGGTGATTTAACTATCAAAAGTTCGAAATTCATCACGACAAGTGAGGTCAGGAAAGACAACTTGTATTGCCCCTCTATATAATCAAACAAAATAACTGACGGGTAAAACTTCAATTTCGTGAATGAATGGTGTGACAGCTTTTTATACGTAGAAAATAGACTTCAAACATATATAATATTGTAGTTTGAATGTTTTTAGTGTGGGATAATAATTTGGACTTGGCTTGAACAAAAATACTAGTCTAATTGTGACAACTAACTCAAGGGGTTACGTATGGAGACCACATGGTCTACACCTCAGCTGTTAAATCAAAGACAGCCCACATGAGATATGATTTGATTTCTTTCAATCTTTCAAATTTTCCATATGTTTCATCCTTAATCGTCACTCGTCAGCCTGATCTGCCTGCTTATGTGTCATCTTCTTTCGGGCTCTTCTTCTCCCTGATTGTTTGGACCTAGTCAGAACTAAATTATTACTATTCCTACCACAGATCTTATACTATTTCAATTTTTTTTTATAAACTAGTATGTTATACCTTTTTTTTGTTCAAAAGTTATACTATCTTATATAAGCAACTAAGTCAGGGAATAATTCTTAAGTCTTTCATTTTGTTGGACCAATGGATATATCAAACTTACCGCACGCAATATAATATATATGCATGAATGTACTTATTTTTAGACCGAGTGCATATATATCTCTTAGGCAGATTTAATAGACAGAAAAAGAATATATTTATATACAAAAATTACAACAACAAAAAATTGGAGAAAAAGGACAAGAAAGAGGAAGGTATGAACCAGGGGAGTTAGGCTCTGGAGGATTACCAAAGGCTGCACTTCTTAACGTGTCTTACTCTTCCTCGACTCTTGCCAACTGTTTGGCTCTTCTTCTTTCTCCTTTCTTCCTTTGTAAACATTTTCATAACCTCTTCACCATCAAAATATATTAAACATCATTTGATTTATATGTTATTTATTAAAATGACTTCTGGATTGTGGATTTTATAAATAAATGCTAATTGGAGAAGCCTCTAAAAAACAATAAAGTTTATCCATAACTCTAGTCTCTATGTATTAATTAATTATTAGTAGTTTCCCTATAGCAGTATAATCTACAAAACTGTCATGCTTACTTGTTATCTTGATCTCTAATGTTCCCCTGTGTCATCAGATTCCAGATTTTACAAGCCATCACAGTTGGCCACTTGTAAATTCGTTAGTCCCCATCATTTATGGGTCCATGACATATTATAGTACATCAAAATAATAATAAAACTAACTTCCTTATATACCTTGAAAAGACATCGATAATATTAACTTCAAAATAAAATAAACGACCTTTTTTATATTTACCCATTATCCAATAATACGATTTGTCTTCCAAGAAAAAACACCGTCTCTTTTCATTATTGTGACCCTCGTCTCATTATTCATGAAAATTAATTTAAAAAACCACACATTGATATTGGTGATATGTACACGTTGGAAAACATTTTTATTTCATGTACAACATTTTACATGAAAACAAACAAACCGAACACCATGCTATATGACCACACAAATTAATTCGACAGTACAAATCTACATTCGTTTTTTGCCGAACACATTATAAAAATCAAATAAATTGGTTATAAAAAGGCTCCTTCCCTTCTTACATTTCTCTATATCTTTTATCCCATTCCTCTAAACCCGGAGTTAACACAATGAAGGGTGATCATGTCTCCGTCGCACGCTCCGACAATATGAAATCTCCGCTCTTACCGGTCGTCCATAATGACGAGCCGTCACAAAACAAAACGGTGAGACAACATCTCCGGACAGTATTCGCGCCTAATAATTGTTACATCGTTCTTGGTCCTCTTCTTTGCGCCGTCGTGTGTCTATGCGCACGGCTCGGCGAAAATGATACGACGAAGGCGAGGAACATGCTAGGCGTTCTTGTCTGGATATTCGCTTGGTGGTTGACAGAGGCTGTTCCTATGCCCATCACCTCCATGTCGCCGCTTTTCTTATTTCCTCTCTTCGGAATCACGGCGGCGGATGACGTGGCAAGTTCTTACATGGACGACGTCATCGCCCTTGTCCTCGGCAGCTTTATCCTTGCTCTCGCCGTCGAACACTACAATATCCATCGTCGTCTCGCCCTTAACGTGAGTCGTTTTATCTCTTTGTTTTCTTTGTCTTTTTCTCATATTTTCATAGAATTTTTTTATTGTCCTTTTTAGTTTTTTAATCAACGTTTTTAAATGGTAGATTCACCTTTTCATGTGTTAGAAAATATGTTTTATCATTTTAAGATGGTAATTGGATAAGCCACGTACTCATGTAGTTGCTAGGGACTCTGATCCTAGTAGATATTTAAGTAATCAGATGATTTTGCGTGGGTCCACAAATGAGTTGATTACAACTTTGAATCTCTGATCATTTTTTTTTATAACGTCTTTAACTTTATTGATATCAAATCATTGTAACATATTACATGGATAAGAAATTACATCAAACATGTTTTTAATAAGAATTTTTAATAGAGATAGCAGTAACACGATGCTTCCTAACGCATTCGTAGGATAGGCTGATTCGCTAGCTTTTCTCCACTCTATTCTTGGTCTTGTGAGATCTTTCTTATGGCTCTCAATTTTTATGAGTACATGCTTTTTTTCTTTAAGAAGATCATTGGACGCGATCCATCTGTTACATCGCAATCCGTTCCAAACACTCCCGCTGCAGGAGATAACATGCTTTGTTGTAATTATCCATGGCACTAGAATTCTTTTGCTTTGAAACCAATAACACCAAACATTGGATGTATCATCATCTCTAAATCTTCTCAGCAATTCTTTATTCCTCTTCAAATCATGATGCTTCATCTTCAGACACTTTAATGGTATTAAAAATACAGAAGCGCACCTTTTTTTATCATCATTCATGACCTTCCATTCCAAAGTTTTCCACTCCCACTTGTTGAACTCAATACTCGCTGGCCCCATACTCTTCCAAGTACCAATTAATTCCATTGACCACTTACAATTTCTAATGTTGAAAACGCTGGCATTAACCACTGTCCAACTTTGGATACCGTACATAATACTCGAGCAACCATAAACCACAAGGTTTTGATAACGATCACGGAGTGACGCCATGAATTCCTTATCCATGAAAATTTTGACAGAAACAATCCACCAAAACCATTCCGCCTCATAGTTAGCGATCATGGAAGTAATCATCACCGTCTTTACCGCCACAAGTTTTACTATAAAATTACTGAGATCTTTCCAAATTTCTATCCCAAAAAAGGAATTTGACTTCGTAATCCCTGGATCCCAGATCCATTGATGAAATTGAAAGCCAAATCTCAATTGAAAAAAAAAAGTTTCAAGAGTTACATGAAGGAAGCCGCATACAGATAGTGAAAGCGGGAAGACATCTACACAATAATCCAAGGTTTGTTGTTGGATCAAGGTCACACAAAAACTCACATTTGGAGAGACAAGAAGAATGATGATTGGAATAAGAGACAACATATTCATCACTTATTATCACCAAAAACTAAACTGAAACAAGGAAAACAAACTAAAGAAAGTGTACAGCCGACGTCGGAGTCGACGCCGGCCGGAAAGCACAAGAACGAAAAGTTGTTCTGATCGCACAAAGGATCGCCAAAAAACGGTTACTATTTTTCTTTTTAATTTTTTTTAGTTTATTTTCACAACTTGAATCTCTGATCATTATTTGGAGAACTTTCAACTGAATCCCCACTTATTAAATTATAAGTTTATAATAACATTAAAACAGCAGTGGTCTATTAAATATAAAAAAGTATGGGATGCAGATAATTGAAGATGTATTCAACAAATATCTATATAACTTTTGTTCTACATGGTAAAAGTCTGATAAATTCAACAAATAAAATTAAGTGGCATGAATTTTTAAGTTGGAAATATTGTAGAGTGTCCTCTATTATATATATATATATATATATGTGTACTTTTATATTGTGTATAACCTTTTAATTAATGGCCTAGGAAAATCCATATATCAAAGTGTTTAATAAGTCCTGCATATGAGACAAGGGTTTACAGCTTACAACTATGATCATCAACAGTCAATACTATGATATATCCTAATTAATTAGATTGGAGTTTAAATAAAAAAAAAAATAAAGCACCACATATCTGATACTGACAATGATTATTCTTATCTATGAAGATTACTATGGTGTTCTGCGTGGAGCCTCTAAACGCGCCACTGCTACTTCTTGGCATCTGCGCAACGACGGCGTTCGTGAGTATGTGGATGCACAACGTGGCTGCCACTGTCATGATGATGCCAGTCGCTACAGGGATACTTCAAAGACTGCCCTCATCATCAGAAATGGTGCCACCAGCGGTGGGGAAGTTTTGCAAGGCGGTGGTGCTCGGTGTGATATACTCTGCGTCAATTGGTGGAATGAGCACATTGACAGGAACAGGTGTGAATCTGATACTTGTCGGAATGTGGAAAAGCTATTTTCCTGAGGCTAATGCAATCAGTTTCAGCCAATGGTTCTTCTTCGGGTTCCCTCTGGCTTTGTGCATATTCTTGGTGCTTTGGGGTATTCTATGTGTGTTGTATTGTCCTAAAGGATCAGGGAAAGCTCTCTCTCCTTATCTTCATAAATCTCATCTTCGTAGAGAGCTTGAGATGTTAGGACCAATGAGTTTCGCTGAAAAGATGGTCTTGTCTGTGTTTGGTGGGTTGGTTGTGTTGTGGATGACAAGAAATATAACCCAAGATATCCCTGGCTGGGGTAGCCTCTTTGACGGCCAGGCCGGGGATGGAACGGTTAGTGTGATGATGGCTACATTGCTTTTCATAATCCCAAACAAAATTAAAAAAGGAGAGAAGCTAATGGATTGGGGTAAATGCAAGAAACTCCCATGGAACATAGTGTTGTTACTAGGAGCTGGGTTCGCTATAGCTGATGGAGTACGCTCCAGTGGATTAGCTCAAGTCTTATCCAAAGGTCTGGTGTTTCTTGAAACAGCTCCTTATTGGGCCATTGCTCCAACCGTTTGCCTCATATCTGCTACCATCACTGAGTTCACCTCAAACAACGCAACAACTACATTGTTGGTTCCTTTACTCATTGAGATTGCAAAGACAATGGGTGTCCATCCTCTGCTCTTGATGGTCCCTGGTGCCATAGGAGCTCAGTTTGCTTTCTTGCTGCCCACGGGAACACCGTCTAATGTCGTTGGGTTCACAACAGGGCATATTGAGATTAAAGACATGATTAAGACAGGCTTGCCTCTCAAGATCGCAGGAACCGCCTTTCTCTCTGTCTTGATGCCAACCCTTGGTATACTTTTATTTTTTGACGATCATATATTGTGATGCTCAGTTTGAAAAGTAGTTGCTTATCTATATATTGCATGGCAGGGGCTTACGTTTTTGGAACAAAAGGATGAGTTTATTCGTGGGCTGAAGCACAAGACCAAAGACACCATTGATTCATTGTATTATATTCTTACAAGGGGGTGCATCATATATTTTATATGTCATGTCACACCGGGATATGTAGATGTGGTCAACAAACGGCCCATTTTTGTAACCTGCTCGATTATAGTTTCCGGTACGATTGTTTTCTTTTGTGCTTACAACGTACCGGTAAGTCTGGTCCTATTTTTCTTGTGTATATATTGAGAACAGTTATTTAAATATTACTATGTGTATTGCGAAAAGACTCGTAAGAGTATCATTATCCCTAAGGGGTGCTTGAATTCTTTTCTTTTCTTTTTTTAGTTTTTTTTTCTGGTTTTAAAAAAAAGGAAAAAAAAATTAATATATGAACTAATTACGGGCTGCCACGTGTCAATGGAGCCCGTAAATAATGCAAGCACCCTACCAACATTAATGCTTAAGGGCATGTTTATTGATGTCTCTTAGAAAAGTATCTTAATATAGTTAAGAATTAGAAAAAAAGAAAAAAACAGATTTTAACTAAGAGATGTGAAAGAGATGTGTCTTAGATAAGGCACATAAGGAATGTCTCTTAGTGCATTTACACTATTTACTTAATTTTATTAATTAAATATTATTAAGAACCTAGCTACCGTATTCCCCGTTAAACATGGCCTAATTAAGCTTCACAAGCAATGGTGCTTGAGATTTGTGTGAGTTCCACCCATTATTATACTAAATTTTTGTTAAGCACTTTCTTTTAATTTCTTTTAAGCACCTTGAATAATGGTGCTCTAAACAGTCGAGTGTCAAGTTATTCATGGTCCTACTCGTTAATGATTCTGCTACATCACTGTCCACAGTCCACCTTGTCTTCTTCCGTTTTCGGGTTTCTACAAGCACAATAAAGGAGAAAAGAAAACGCACATGCCTTGTTTACATCGATAATTGTATATCTTTTGTCCATTAAACTCATTTGATCAAAAATAAAGAAATAAGAAAAAATTCATTTATGTTATATATATGTCTTTGCTATATAGTTGTGTAATAGACTATGAGCTATTTGCTCGCAAATCTGCGATATCAGTAATTTTGAAAATTTAATATAATATCTTATATAATAAAGTTAATTTTTTTTTTCGTTATAGGAAGAAAAATTATCATGTGTCTGTCAATCATTAAAGGACAATTGACCAAAATAATACTTCTAAAAATTTTGTCTCCAAAATAACAATAGAAGAGAAAAATCACAAAAATAACCTTCATTAATAGACAAAATGTCTCTAATATCTTTGCTTTTAATTAATACTAACTCTAAACATTATTATCAATACTAAACCCTAAACTCTAAAACTACTAAGTCTACACCTTCAACCCTAAACTAAAACATAAATCCTAAACCCTACACCTATCTAAATCCTACTCGTTAATGATTCTGCTACATCACTGTCCACAGTCCACCTTGTCTTCTTCCGTTTTCGGGTTTCTACAAGCACAATAAAGGAGAAAAGAAAACGCACATGCCTTGTTTACATCGATAATTGTATATCTTTTGTCCATTAAACTCATTTGATCAAAAATAAAGAAATAAGAAAAAATTCATTTATGTTATATATATGTCTTTGCTATATAGTTGTGTAATAGACTATGAGCTATTTGCTCGCAAATCTGCGATATCAGTAATTTTGAAAATTTAATATAATATCTTATACAATAAAGTTAATTTTTTTTTTCATTATAGGAAGAAAAACTATCATGTGTCTGTCAATCATTAAAGGACAATTGACCAAAATAACACTTCTAAAATTTTTGTCTCCAAAATAACAATAGAAGAGAAAAATCACAAAAATAACCTTCATTAATAGGCAAAATGTCTCTAATATCTTTGCTTTTAATTAATACTAACTCTAAACATTACTATCAATACTAAACCCTAAACTCTAAAAATACTAAGTCTACACCTTCAACCCTAAACTAAAACATAAATCCTAAACCCTAAACCTGTCTAAATCCTAAAACATCAACAATTAACCCTAAAACCTAAAAATTCTCAATCTTTAACACTAAAAAATTACCTTAAATCATAAACCTCAATTGTAAACCCTAAATCCTAAACCCTAAACCCTAAAACCTAAGCCCTAAATCACAATTCTAACTTCAAACCCTAAACATTCAAATATAAACCCTAAAACATTAACCCTAAATTCTAAACCCTAAACCCTAAAACCTCAACTCTAAACCTTACTATCAACACTAAGCCCTAAACCATAAAAGTATACTCAACCCTAAAACCTAAACTCTAAACCACAATTCTAAATCCTAAACCCTAAAAAAATTACCTTATATCCTAAACCCTGAACCTTCAACCCTAAACTCTAACCTAAACCCTAAAAAAATCAACTTTGTTAATATATATATATTTTTAAATAACAATCACTTTGTTTTGATAAATTTCAATTGTAACTTTTAAATAATTTATTGTTTTATTTTTCTTAAATAATTTACTGATTAAAAAAATGTAAAGCAAAACCAAAAACCAAATCTAAAAACTAAAATCCAAATCCAAAAACTGAAAACACATATTATATTTTTTTTGCTTTGTTTATTTACAATATAAACTATTTCAATTTTTTTTTAATTTGTTTTCATCTTTTCAGTTTTAAATTAGATGTTCGATTATTTGAGATTTGTTGTTGGTAATATCAGTTCAAACTAACTCAGTGGGTTTAAAAATTAAAAACCCAAACCAAAAACTAAAAATGAAAAATAGAAACTTAAAAACTAAAAACCAAAAACCAAAATCTAAAAATAAAAAGTCAAACTAAAAACTAATGAAAAACAATCATCACCACAAATTTTGGTGAACTGATTTTATATCAAAATATTCTTTAAATTAAAAGAAAACCTAATTATATAAATTTTTAATCATAAAAAATTTCCGCGCTTTTAAGCGCGGGTCAAAATCTAGTGAACTTTAAGCCCTAGACTCTAAAACATCAACTCTACACCTTAAACATTAAACCTTAAAGTCTATCGTGAAGATTAATATATTATTTGGAAGCCCATCCTGAACACGCTCATGGTTTTCCAAATTTTACAATACATTACCTTCGATCCGGAAACCCATCCTGAACACGCTCAAAGCTTTCCAAATTTTAGAATACATTATCCTGAAAATTAATATACTAAACTCTAAACCATAAAACATCAACTCAAAACCTTAAACACTAAACCTTACACATTAAAGGATAAACCCTAAAAATTTACCTTAAATCATAAACCTAAACCTTCAACCCTAAACTCTATACCTAAAACCTAAATCCTAAAAAAATCAACCCAAAACCCAAACCCCTAAAACATGAACTTTGAGCCATAAACCCTAAAACATCAACTGTAAACCCTAAAATCTAAACCTTAAACCTTAAACTCTATCTTGAAGATTAATATATTATCTGGAAGCCCATCTTGAACACGCTCATGGCTTTCCAAATTTTATAATACATTATCTTCACTCTGGAAACCCATCCTCAACACACTCAAGACTTTCCAAATTTAGAATACATTATCCTGAAGATTAATATACTAAACTCTAAACCCTTAAACCCTAATACATCAACTCTAAACCCTAAACTCTAAACTTAAAACCTTAAATTCCATCCTAAAGATTAATATGTTATCAGGAAGCCCATCCTGAACACGCTCAAGGCTTTCCAAGATTTATAATACATTATCTTGAAGATTATTATATTATCCGGAAGCCCATCCGGAACACGCTCAGGGTTTAGAGTTGAAGTTTCAGGTTTTAGGGTTTTAGAGTTGATGTTTCAGGGTTTAAGGTTTAGAGTTGAAGTTTCAAGGTTTAGGGTTTTAGAGTTGATATTTTAGGGTTTAGGGATTAGGGTTTAGGATTTAGGGTTTAGGGTTTTAGAGTTGATGTTTCAGGGTTTAGAGTTGAAGTTTCAGAGTTTTGGGTTTTAGAGTTGGATTTTCAGGGTGCAGGGTTTAGAGTTGAAGTTTCAGGTTTTAGGGTTTTAGAGTTGATGTTTCAGGGTTTAGGGTTTAGAGTTGAAGTTTCAAGGTTTAGGGTTTTAGAGTTGATATTTTAAGGTTTAGGGATTAGAGTTGAAGTTTTAGGGTTAGAGTTTTTTAGAGTTGATGTTTAAGGGGTTTAGAAGTAAAACATTAGGGTTTATGGTTTTAGAGGTGATGTTTCAGGATTTAGGGTTTAGATTTGAAGTTTCAGGGTTTAAGATTTTAGAGTTGATGTTTTTGTGCTTAGAGTTGAAGTTTCAGGTTTTAGGTTTTTAAAGTTGATGTTTCAGGGTCTAGGGTTTAGAGTTTTTCATGGTTTAGGGTTTTAGAGTTGATATTTCAGGGTTTAAGGATTAGAGTTGAAGTTTTAGGATTATAGTTTTTTAGAGTTGATGTTTCAGAGGTTTTGAAATAAAACATCAGGATTTATGGTTTTAGAGTTGATGTTTTAGGATTTAGGGTTTGAAGTTTCAGGGTTTAAAGTTTTAGAGTTGATGTTTCAATTTAGAGTTGGATTTTCAGCTTTTAGGGTTTTAGAGTTGATGTTTCAGGATTTAGGGTTTAGAGTTGAATTTTCAGGGTTTAGGGTTTTAGAGTTGATATTTCAGGGTTTAGGAATTAGAGTTGAAGTTGCAGGATTAGAGTTTAGAGTTGAAGTTTCAGTGATTAGGGTTTAGAATTGATGTTTTAAGGTTTATGGTTTAAATTTGAAATTGCAAGGTTTAGGGTTCTAAAATTGATATTTTAGGGTTTAGAGTGAAAGTTTCAGGATTTAAGGTTTAGAATTGAACTTTCATGGTTTAAGGTTTTAGAGTAAATTAGTCAAAAAGTGGCATAAAGATAAATAATCCATTAATCTATTATTTTTTAATTAATCAAAAAATGGGTAAAAGGATAAATCATCCCTTTAATGAAACCTATTTTTGTGATTTTTAGCCTTAGATGCTAGTTTGGGGACAAAAACTTGAATTAGTGCTATTTTGGTTTTTATTTCATCATTAAATGTAAAAATCTGTATTATCGACGAAAAAAGAATGAAGTTAGTTATTACTTTTTTTTGGAAAATTGGAAAAAGAGACACTTTGAATATTTATTTGGCCAAATGGAACTTTTCATACTTTGGATAATTTGGACATGTTTTACCCTTGTATAATAGAAAAATAGTAAATTAAGATATAAAAATATAAAAAATATGAAAGTCTGAGTAAACATTAGTATGAGTATTTATATGTTTAAATTTTCTTAAATTTTTTTTTGGAGTAATG